AGTTATAATGCATTCTCTTTTCTTGTTGAACCTTTTATATCTGCTCTCATTTCTGAGTTAATGTTTTTAGGTAATGCTATTGTATGGGTCATGATGTGTATAATTTTAAAGAAAAACAAAATTATTATATAGATTTGTGGCAAAAGGTAGTTTAGCAGTTGTATGTTTTCCCAGAATGCTTTATTCTGCTGCATTGTGATCTGACCTGTTTCCAGAGCATTCATCACCTTCAGCGGCAGTTCCACATCCTGTCACTGCGGCCAGCAGAGTGTGTCACCGGCTTCAGCCATCGACGGTCTCCACAGAGTACTTCCCTTTCAAACAGTTAGGAGCTGTCGAGCCAGCCAGGCCACTCCAACCACCCAGGGTTACAGTGTGTGGCAGGTGTTTACAGGTGGGTCCCCTGAGCTTTCTGAGTGGCCCTGACTGAGGCCGAGGGCTGTGAGAGGTCCCACAGCTGGTGACCTCTGGCCTGGAGTTTACTGCTGCCCAGTATGTGGGATGCATGGCGTCCAACGCTGCCCTCTCTGTGCCAGATGAAGGGGAGGCTGGGAAATGCCCATCAGGTTCTGTTGTCCCGCCCTGTTGTAGAATGTTTAGTTTCCTTGGTCAGCAAACCTACCATGTGGCCCAGGATTTGATGTCAGATTTCAGTTGAAGTTTTTAAATTCCCCATTGCAGAGCCTATCAGCAAATTTCTTTCAAAACAGGGACTTGCCTTTTGTTGTAAATGTTGGCACCACCTTGGCATTCTGAACCACTACTGAAGCAGCTAAAAATCTGTGCAGATGGAGACCCCCAGGGTCCCTGGTTCCTCAGTAGCAACTGGGACTTCAGAAGGAAAGCCAGCCTAGGAGGACAAAGTGCTGTAGCTCCCCGGGCCACTCGTTAGGGCTTCTTAAAGACTCTGGGCCCAGCCAGCGCGGCCCCCATCCCAGCCTCTGCTCCTCTCTCCAGTTCCTGGAATTCTTTCCATCATTCAGAGACTCTTTCCTCCCATGGCTTTGTTCCCTGTTTCTAGAATGTGTCCGGCACATGGAAGGTGTGGTCGCCTCTGAGCATGTGAACCAGCTGTGCCAGCCTCTCCCCTCCCTCCGCTCCCTTGGCCTTTCACCCTCCCACCATGCACACGCATCTCCCTGCCTAGTTGTGACTGACATGTCGTCTCTGAGCTCCTGCAGCCAGCCTGCACCTCATTTCCTCTCTCTCTCTCCTTCACTGCAGCAGTGGACTCGCCTGGCCTCAGCGTTAGTTGCTCCTCCTTTCCACCAGGTCCTCCGCTAGGCATTGAGAGCAGTCTTGCTTTCCCCAAGCAAGAATTTATAGTGGTGGCCCTGACGGGTAGCAGAGGGCCAAGAACACTTGGAACTAGAGTACCTGAACTTGACACTGAACCACTTGTACCAAATAATGAATGGGGAAAATGTCACTAATATGTTAGTCCCACCACCTGACATGGATTGGCATCTGGTGTGTATTCCAGGTTAACTATTCAGACTCCTGAGCAGTGCATGCCTGCCTAGGCACTAGTCATTAGATGCACAGTAGCTTTTTAAGTGAATAAAAAATTCAGTTCTGCAGTTGAACTTGCAACGTTTCCAGTGCTTTGTGGCCACATGTGACTAGTGGCTACTACATTGGCCCTAGGGATATAGAACATTTCCATCATTGCAGAAAGTTCTGATGGGCATTACTGTGTGGAGTACAATGTGAACACTTTAGAAACCAGAATTAAAGGATTCTGAGGACAGGGTTAAAAGCAGATGGGCGTACGCTATAATGCAACTGATGAGTATTTGGGGCGAAAAGAGAAAGTCAAGGACCAATTTCTAGCACCTAAGATCCAGGCTTTCTTGGTTTGGATCCAGACGGGCTAGACATACATGTATATATTCAACTCTTAGAGACATCTTTGAACCAAGGTTCTGTACAGCTTTTCAGATCAGCGGCTGAACTAAAAAATTAGAAGGTACAGTTATTTTAAAAGCCATGAGCAAATTTGTAAAGGCTTCTTTTAAATCTTTCATAATAATAAAAAACAAAATTGTCTCCCAACAGTACTGTCCCTCAAAGAAGTTTGGTGATATGAAAATAGCATGTCCGGGGAGATTGCTCCAGTTAATAGCAGTGTGTTTAGTAGACAGAATTCTAAGAGTGACTCCCTCCCTGGGACCTTGTATTCTATCCTCCCCTTTGAGTGTGGGTGGAACTGTATGATCCATGATTATGTAATGTTACATAGCAAAAGATTATCTGGAGGCGACTAATCCAGTCTCCTGAGCCCTTTAAAAGCAGTTTTCTAAGGCTGGTAGCCCAAGTTATAGACTCCAAGCAGAACTCCAACGCTAGGCAACCGAGTGGAGGGGGTCACAGGGGAAGGAATACGGGCAGCCTCCAGGAGCCAGGAGGCTTTGGCTGCCAGCGAAGAAAATGAGATGTACAGTCCTATAGCCACAAGCTCATACATGGGCTTGGAAATGGATTTGTTTCCACATAAGAACCCAGCCTGGCCAAGCACCTCGATCCCAGCTTTGTGAGACCCTAATTGGAGAACTCAAGTTGAGTCTGCTGTGACTTCTGACCTGCAGAACTGTAGGATAGTAAATGGGTGGAGTTTTAGGTTGCTACATTTGTAGTAGTTGCTGTACAGCAATAGAAAATGTCATTTAGAAGAGGTAAGGAGGAGACGACTTCGTACCTGATTGTCTGTAGTATGTTGGGTATTTCTTGGTTTAAAAAAAAAAAAAAAAGTGCATGAATAGTCTCTACTAGCAAATTGTAGTCCTGGGCCTCAGCTAGGATGTTTTGTGCCAGAGATCTCAGTCTTTGTTGGAAGTTTGTTGGTAAAATGTAATGTTTTATACAAGAACTGTTAGAACGAGATCGTAGGAATAGAAATGTGAGGAGCCTTTTTTTCTAGGTGAGATATTCATGATTTAGAATAGACTGCTCTGAACCTGTCAGAAGTATACAAAAGAATAAACAGTAGTGTTCCAGGACACCAAATTAAGAGAAAAATAACTCCTTCTTATATGTAGAGATTACATAGTAATTTATTCTGTTATGAGGGACTTATTTTTTTTAATCAAAACTTTATTACCTAGCACAGATCAAACCCTATTTGTGCCAACCCCATTTTTGTACTTTGAGAATGTTTTCCAAAATACCTCTCTGCTTTCAAGCCGTTAATTGCAAATGGGGTTCACTTTTAGTTTGGTTTATCCATTAATTTTTGTGCTCATCTTTACTATATTGCCATACCCTTGATTTAAGAATAAGGAAATTAGAAACTACAAACTTTCAAGATTGCAAATGTGTCACCATCACATCTTTGTGTTAAAAGGAAACTTAGATTTCCAGCTCAATCCCTTTATAAAAGCAACTTTTCCAAGCTATGTAGCAGCATTTATAATGTGTAAAATTTAGTTTGATAGTGTGAAATTTTAAATTCTTAATCTTAACAGATATATGCTATGATAACTAGTATGCTTTCTTTCTTTAATGCATGTCAACATACGATGCTAAAAAGACTACTAAAGCAGTATTAGGAAAAGCAGCCAAGTGAGGGTGTCATCGTTATATTAAACTCTTCCCACCTTAGGCACCCCCTTCTCCGGTTTGGGCACCAATCAGACCATTGTCAAAGAACAGACAGAGGAAGAGCTGGCGCTCTGGGTTGTTGGAACTGAGAGGAAGGAGATATTCAAGACAGTAGGGTGGGCTAGGGTGCAGATCCGGGGTAGAGCACTGGCCTGTGTGTGCCAGGTCCCGGGTCCTGCCCCTGGCACTGTAGGGGAAAAAAGGCAGTGAAGTGAGCTGGGAAGGAGGCAGAGCATTGTGCTCACAGTTAATGCTGCAGTCCAATGTCCAGAGCAGCGGTGCTAACGGCTCTGAGTGAGGACTGTGGTGAACGCTGGAATACCCTCAGACATCAGGCAGGCTCTTTTGTACCGCTCGCTCCTAGGTGTTTCACTGTATTAGTAGTTAGCAGCTGTCCCAGAATCAAAGGTTGGTTTGTACCTTACCCTGATTAGCATCCCGTTATTTGTTCAAAGTGCTCGATGTCTGCTCAACTTTGGTAAAAATCTCTTGAAGACATTCTCTCTGAGCCTTAAAAATGGCGGATATCGACAGTACTGTAAGATGCACTGCCAGCAGATTTGATACTTTCATTTCGGTATAGCCAGTGATGTTTTCTAAGGAAGATTTAAAGTCTGCTAAGCCTAACAGTTGTGTTTCCTTCATGGAATGAAGAACTAAGCATGTCTCATTCAGAGCACTTTCCTTGGAAAGGCTGTCTTTGCATTTGGGGATGTTTCTGGAGGCATCCCTTGGAGAAGCTGCCTGAACAATCTCTGCCAGGTTGTACCAGATGGTTTTTTTTTCTTCCTAAATGTACATATTTTCCTTAATGTCTTCATGTGTTGAACGGTTAATATCTGTAGTAATATTTTAGGTACCTATTGGATTTTTAAAGGAAGAATATTTATTTTCAATTTGCTGCTATAATTGAAAACCTAATAACTGGTCCTGTTGACTGTGCCTTTCATCACTGTTTCTCTGTGCCACAACTGTTCATTGTATTTGAAATAAAGCGATTTAAAAAGCTGTGCTGATTCAAGATTCCTTCTAATAAAATTAGCACTGAACCAAGGAATTTCTTTTCAGTTAGAAACAGGAATGGATCCTATGTGTTTTGAAAAGGGTATAGCCCTGCTGTCAGACCCAGATGGCCATTGTTTACACAGGTGTTTGCTTAGCCCCCAGCACTGCCTCAGGCTAGTGTACAGTGGGAGTTTGTGCTTTGTGCCCTCCTTTCTCGGCAAGCCACACTGTCAGTGACAACAGGGCCTCTACTACGCAGCTGCACTACAGGTTAAAGAGGCTTGGTGAAGACTGAGGGTAGCCCGTTGTCCAAAATCAATTCATATGAAAGTTATGTATAGCTCCTGGGTGCCCATATTACCACATGCATGCTTTAGTTTAAAAAATATTTATTAAAGGAATGTACTTGACCACAGTGTTAGCATATCTCCTCAAATCTGTAAACTTTACACCTTTAAGATATCTACAAAGAGTTTATTTACAAGTTTTACAAGAAATCATCACCTCACCAATACTGTTGACACAGTCAAGCTGGGTACTGCCACCTTTCTCTTCATTTCACTCGATACTTATAGAAAGAACACAGAGCACGGGTGAAGTTCCAGCCTAGTGCCAGCGACAGCCCATACAGTAGGATCAGAGGTGCAAATGGGTAGAGAAGAATTACTGTGCTTTTCAAAAAGGGCAATGCTGGAAGGGAAACAAATCCAAATTATTTCTTAAAAAAAGTGAACATTCCAAAACACGGCTTGCTTTTCAACATGTGGGACCAAAAAGCACGTGATGCCAGGTCTGTGGCTCAAGTGGTAGAGCGCTTGCCCGGCACATCTGAGGCACTAGGTTTGATCCTCGGCACCACATTAAAATAAAGGGGTCCTTCTACAACTAAAAATGTTTTTAAAAAGGTACATGGTGCTGTTTGTAGAACTATAAATACTGTCTTGATACCCTTAGGACTGAGCGAGGGACATTACAAATACTGACCAGGACAGTGACCACCTCAGAAGCCCATCTTAAGGTACTGAGACAGATGATGATGGAGGGGAAAAAAATCTTAGCCATTTGAAAGTTTCCAGTGCAAAAGCCATTATACCCCCACGGTTCCCAGATATCACTTAGTCCGGGGGCCCCCTCTGCAGACTTGGAATGTGTTCCCCCCATAGGAGGGCCAAGTGTGGCACCATGACACCGACCACAACCTTCCCCAATTATGTGACAACCAGAAGCTTGAATCTGGTCACAAACCTGGCCCTAGAGCAGGGGAAGGACTGGCAGTGCCTACACCAGGCAGTGCAGTGAAGGGGATAAGATCCCGGCAAATCAGCTGAGAGCTGGGAACAGCTCTATCCAAAGGACCAGTCTGAGGAAAGTAAAAGCTGCTGACAGCAAGAACAGGAAGGGCTAAAATATGTGGGAGCTCTAGATTTTATTTTCCACTGGAGGCTGGTACTGGGGGATCAAACTCAGGATCTCAAACATGCTAGTCAAATGCTCCAGCTCTGAACTACATCCCCAGCCTGACCTCCAGCTTTTGACTCTCCTGCTTCCTGAACAGCTGAGATTATAGGCATGTACTACCACACCTGGCTCGTAAGAGATAATATGCTTGAAAACTAATGTAAGAATGTTACTCATATTAAGAATAATGAGCTGACAACAGGATTTAAGAGTAAATTGGCAGGCCAGGCACCATGGTGCACACCTGTAATCCCAAGAGGCTCAGGAGGCTGAAGGAGGAGGGTCTCAAGTTCAAAGCCAGCCTCAGCAAAAGTGAACTACTAAGCAACTCAAAGAGACACTGTCTCCAATAAAATACAAAATAGGGCTGGGGATGTGGCTCAGTGGCCAAATGCCCAAGTTCAATCTCTGGTAACAACAACAAAAAAAGTAAATTGGCAAACATATGCTGAGGTCAATAAAAGTTGGGTCTAATTGTCTGTGATCATCTACAGAACCATACACGATCACAAAAAAAGAAAATGGTGCAAAAAGGTTTTCAACAGCTCCAGTCACAGGCCTGCAAGCCCAGACCCTTCCCTACTCTGCCCTGGTATCAGTGACCTGGAACTGAACATGCAGAAGAGACGGGAGACCAACTCCTGCCAGCAGCTTGGAGATGTCAGCATGATTTAACACGGTGCCAGGAGATTATGAAATTTGTCATATACCAGCTAGACCACTTTCTAGCTGGGAGACCATAGGCAAGTTAATCTTTTGCAGTTTCCTCACTGGAAAATGGGAACAAGTGAACCTGTATCATCATTGTTATAAGGATTACATAATATACTTGGGGCGGGGCCTATCAGTGCTCCATAATGGTAAATTGGGAGTATGTGTTACAACTTGCCCCCTCCCTGTCATCTACGCAGGCACCCACCCAATTTCTTATGGTACTTACCACTGTATCCTAGGAAGGTTACATAGATGTAATAGCCAACTGCAATCAGCCATAAGGTATTTCCAACTAAATATCCAATAAATGTGTCTGTTAGGATAACATCTGCCAGGAGAAATGCACAGTGAGTCTCTTCCCAGTGCACACAGGGAGCACGGGCGACAGCTGAGAAGTAAGTCTTACTTACGGTTGATGAAGAACAGCTGGATGAAATGCAGAATGACCAGGAGTGGGTAGAAGGCATTGAGGTGCACGTCAAAGGCATAGCCCCACTCCACGTCACAGTCTCTGCTCTGTCGCTTTACTAGATACTTGTTGGAGATGAACCTAAAGGGTGAGATTAAGATTCCCTTCATAATACAGTAAAATCAACTCTATTTGCACTTATTGCCTTCTACAGATCAGACACTGCTCTGGATTCTGGAGCTCAGGGTGAGCTGGCGCTCCAGGCTCTCTCTAGAGGGAGGACACGGAACGCTGGCGTCTGTCAGAGGGTGCCATGGAGAAAAGCACAGCAGCAACAAGGACAGAATATGCACAAATTTTCTAGTCAAAGTTATGTTGGGGTAAAGACCAGAGGGCAGTGGTGGCACCTGGCTTTCTGGAGGAAAGGCTAAGAAGGCAGGTGTGCCTGGAGGGACGGACCAGGAAGGGAAGCCCGAAGAGAAAGCGGAGCCAGATTTCCTGGTGCCTGTGGCCACTCTAAGATGTGGCTTTCACTGTTGGTGGAGAGAGAAGCCATGGGGCTGGCAAGCAGTGCCTGGCTGAAATGTTCTGCAGGGTCTCTGTGGCCAGTCTGAGAACAGACTATAGTGACAAGTCAAGGAGGGAGAGGGAAGGCTGCTGCGGACAAGAGCCCAGAGCAGCAGGAGCAATGGAGGTGGGGGATGCAAGACGTTCTGGACGTGGGAGCGGAGCCGACAGGATTAATGTCAGAGGGGGTCTGAGAAATAAGGAAGAGTCAAGGGGAGCCTGGAGCTGGACTGGGGATGTTGAAGGAGCCGCCAGCATGGAGTCCGGAGATGGGCAGGAAGTCCGCAGCTTGGGGGAGAGCGAGGTCGAACTAGAACAGAAGCTTCAGTGTGGGGGGATCTTGACAGCCATGAACCTGAAGGATATCACCAGGAGAACACAGTGACCAAGGCAAGACTGAGGCCTGTCAACTCCCTATTAAAAGGTGAGGACAGGAAGAGACAAAGGGAAGAGGGCCGGCAGCATGTCCAGCCACAGGAATACGAATTACTCAGCTGTCACTGTTCTCTGCGCGGCCACCAGCTCAGGTAAGTGGTGAGTGACTGAAGGGGATAATGTCCACGAAACAAAAAGGGAGCTCTTCAAAGAACAACGCGGGTCATTTGTGGAAATTCAATGTACCTTTTCTATGTGCCAAGGCATTTCAATTCAAGGACACAATTAAGAAAATTCTCTTCCTACAGAGGAGATAAAAATAGAAAATAAAGAAACAGGAAGAACATGGTGCAGTGTAATAAACAGTCCCTCACTTAATCATCTAAAGAGTGGAACCAGAGGCAGGGAAGGGCGGGGAGGTGGTTGCAGGAAGCTGGGTCATGGGTATCCAAAGCCAGTTAGACAGGAGGCGTGAACTCTGCTCCACAGCACAGGGGGTGCCTACGGTTCACATCGATTTATTGTACACTTTACAAAGAACTAGAAGTTCAAAGGTCCCAACACCAAAAATTTAAAAATGTTTAAGGAGCTAATTACCTTGATCTGATCATTACACATTGTATACACGTATCCAATCACTGCAGAGGACACCACAAATATGTATGATTAAATAATTTTGAATGAAAAAGACTTTCATGTAATAGCATGTGGCTCACCCCCAGGAGCTCTGTTCCCCTGCTCACCGTCAATGGGAGAGAGCTGTTCCTTCAGAGAGTTCCAAGACAACCGTGGCTTCCCCTCCCACCTGCATCAAGGACACCACTCACATCCACATCTTGGGCCAGACTCTGGTCTCCAAGTTTCAAATCAGAATAGAGACCTCAGGCCCACTGACCCTCACTTCCACTAAATATTCCCCATGCCCCCTGAACTCCACGGGCCCCCTGGGCTCCGCACACCTGACATGGCATGCTCATCTGCACTTGTCGCAGGCCATCCTGAAGGAGGCTGTGGCCGCCCCATCTCTTTCCTGTCCCTCACCATATCCTGTTTCCATGGGATGCTCTTCAGTCCACCCCACTGTTACCACCACACTACTCTGGGCACCCTCTGCTCTTCGCAGAGCCCCTGCCAACCCTCTGGCCTTGACCCTTTTCCACCTCCTCGTTCACTGCCAGGGAAGACTTTGCTTAAGCGTGAAACTGACATGACTCCCTCCCTTCCGAGCCCTGAGCTCCACCTCTCTACCCTCCAGTCACATGTGCAGCCTGGGAGAACAGGTCCTCTTTTTTCTGAATGGCATTGAGGTTGACTTCTCTAGTCTCATCTCCTCCCTAGTCGCCCTCAGGGTCACTCTCCACCCCAGACCTGGCATGCTGTCTCTCACTTCTGTGCCTCTGCACCTGCAAGTCCAGGTACCAGCGGTCAGAGGTCCCATGTTTCCCCTTCATGCTGGTTCCAGTGGACCTCTGGTAGGGCCACGGTTACATGGAATCCTTTCTAGTTTTAGTTCCTCACAGGATTCACAGCTCAAACACTGGTTCTCAAAGATAGTATCTATTTAACTCACACTACGATATAAATTCATATCCAAAGTGCTCAACTGGACAACACCATTTCTGGGGCCTCCAGAATCACTGCATTCAGGGCAGAACACTTGCTATAAACGATTCCTTTGAAAGCCTCATTTCTTAATTTTTTTTTTTTTTAAGACTGTGCCATTTTCCTGGGTAGCTTTGTAATAAATGTAATTAGTTAGCAATATTAACTATGGCCTCATTTAAAAATTTTACATTAATAGTACAAAGCATTTATTAACTACCTAGTACATACAAAACCTGCACTTTATGAGTCAGAAGTTACAAAGAAAATAAAAGGTTGGTATCACCAAAGGTTCCAGTCTTGAAGTTTTGTTTAAGATATTAATAGCTACATTAGACTTAGCACTTAAGTACATTCCAAGTGCTTATTATACCACAATCCTCTAAAAAATCTGACAAAACAGGTAATTCATTTTACAAAAGGTGAGACTTGGACTACGCATGACACAAATGGCTGCACTGGCATTTGAACCCAAGTCACACTGTGACTAAAATGTTCCATCCTGTTTTCCTAATACAGGGGCCACCACTCCATCTTGGTGTCATTTTCCATCAGGTATATACCTCTGAGGTGAACAAATGGAGCCTCCTCAGTAACTGCAAAGCCAAAGTTAATTACTTACCACATTAAAGTTGATATCAGAAGACCAACACCCACACAATCTATGAACACGACCCATAGGAGAAGCTTTATCGTCTCAAAAAATCCCATGTCCAGCACAAAGCCAAATCCTATAGTGGATACTGAAAGAAAGATTCACAAGATTCACTCAGACACTCGCTGGGTACAGGGCACTGGCCTTGGTGTCAGGGTTTGGTCCTTACATGCCCCCCAAAGGCCCATGTACTAAAGGCTCAATTGCCAACCCTGGTGCTACCAGGAGCTGATAGAACCTTCAGGAGGTGGGGCCTAGTGGAAGGAAGTTAGGTCACTGGGAGTGTGCCCTTGAAGGGGAGATTGGGACCCTGGCCCTTCCTGTTTCCTGGCCATTGGGAGATGAGCAGTTTTACTCTACCATGAACTCCCCACCATGATGTTTTGCTTCAATACAGCAACAGGGTCAAGTGACCATGAATTCATACCCCTGAAACCATGAGCCAAAGTAAAAATTCCCTCCTTATCAATTGTTTCTCAAGTATTTTGTTACAGCAATGGAAAGGCGAGTGACACTCTTGGCCTCCAAAGACCCATAGTCTAGTGAGACAGACCAAAACAAAACTCCCAGGATGTGTCATATGTAACTGATGTAGCAACCGGGAACCACCCTGGGCTATAGATAGATTGTTTGTCAAGGTAGGTAGTTTACGGTGACAGGCCAGAATTCCAAACACCCCCGGACAGAAAAGGCACTCATGTAAGTCCAGTTAAAAGTGAAAAACACTCTATCACTTGTGACTGATGCACTTTCATTATACTACTGGAGAACTTAAAAACAGGTTTTCAAGTTCATGTTGCTATTTTGGAATTCTCTGGATTTACTTAATCGTGAAATACCATGTCCAATCCTGACATTCCTTTTCACAGCAAGTTGGAGTTTGGGTATTGGTTCACTATAGTTAAAAAACATGGAGTGAATTTTTCCCCCCCGCTCTTCAAGGTCCCAAAGCAGCAATTTAATTTACTCTGGCATTGGACTGAGACCTGTAGAACTAGGAAGAATTAACCTTTCCTGTGATTTTTGAAGGTACAGAAAAAACAGCTTCAGATATCCCCAAATTTGAACCCAAAACACATTAAATCAAAGGATCCTTCAAATGATAAGCCTAATCTGAAAAGCTCAATTTGTTCTTCAACTCTATTGCAGAAACTAACACTTACCACAGAGCCAGATACTTAATAAGACCAAGAAAGCAGGGTCATCTCTGGCCCACTGGTCCTTTGTCTGTTTCCGGTAATGAAAGTTCCTATAAACCCTCTGTGGGGAAGTGAACAGGTAGAGCATCTGCCAGGCAGCAAACTCAAAGTCCATCTGGCGAAATCGAAAAAGCCTCCTGAGGTATTTGTAGCGTTTTGCTCCAGCCGTGTGTCTTGCTGCATCCCTGGAATTCAAGACTCCGTTCCCCTGCACTGAGGAATTCACTGAAGTACTTGGTAACATCTTCCTAGATGGAAGAAAACAATTCTTTTACATGCAATATGAAGAAACGTTTGGCTATCAGCACCCCTCTTCTGTGTTATTTGGCAAGGAGGTCACTTTACATTTTCTCTTCTACCCTTCAGAAGGGTCTGGGGTCAAAAGCAACTGGAGTTGGTTCTGAGGCTTGTCTTGAGGCTGGAGAACTGCTGCCCACTTCAGGCCAGGGCAACACTATGGGATTCAGAACCATCTAACACTTATCCAGGGTCCAGGCTGTTCCCACACTTCACCTCACTCGATCCTCAGGCAGCCCTCCCAGGTAGCTAATGTTGACAGAGGGAGAGGCACAGGGAGGTGAAGTGACCTCCCTATGAGCACGAAGACAGTGATGGAGCCACGATTGGAACGTAACCACCAAGCCCTTAAGGGAAAACCTTAGTTGAAGCCGATTAGAACGCAACGTTACCGAAGAGGTACAATAGCTTTTCCACACAGGTTCATCAGCATAAGGCCAGCAAGCTCCTTGTTCATCAGAATGCGACATAAAAACAAAGCAAATATCCAATCCCTAGCGCTTTACTCCCAGGGCAGTTCAGCAGGAGGCATGACAGCGTGGGAGACCAGTCGGCCAGGCCAAGGCTGGTGAGCGCAGCCCGACCCCCACGCCCAGCAGCCCGACGCCCCTACTACGCTTCGTCGGCCTCCGGGACGCGGACAGTGCCCCGCCCCGCCCAGCTCTTCTCCATTCGCCCGGGGCCTCGGGTATGGCTGCCAGGTTTAGCAAATAAAGGTACAGACCGCCCAGTTACATTTGAATTTCGAGCAAGGAACGAATTAGGAGTCCCACGCAACATGTCGGACATGCTTATACTAAAAAACTCTCTGAGATTCCCATGTAAATGGGCGACTTTGATTTTCTCCAGGAACTCGACCGCGGGCCTGAGGCCCGAGAGGGGCCGGACACCGGCATGGTCACTCCCCAGCCGCCGTGACGCCGGGCCGCGAGCAGCCGGAAGACACGGCCCCCGGCGCGAACAACAGTCGCGCGCGGGCGGAGCAGTCCTCGGGGCTCACCTGGAGCTCTACTGCGGCCTCGGCCCGGAGCCGAGCTACCCGCCACCTCCGCCTAGCAGCCGAGCCCAGCCGCTGCCCGGGCGACTTCCCTTCCGCAACGTAGCCGGCGCTCAGGGCGCGTCTTGCTGACGTCACGAGCGCCCATTTCCGCTACGCAGGCGCTGCCCCTCGGGACTCGTAGTGTCTTCCGCCCAACCGGGGAAGACCTTCCGGAAGTTGTTGTAGTATCTTCCGGTGCCTTCCGCTTGGGGTGTCGCTCGCACCTAGCCAGGTGGTAGGGGTTGAGCACCGAGAGGGTCGCGCCGCCGCGGGCGGGAGGCGCCGTCATGCCCCGCTATTACGAGGACAAGCCGGAGGGCGGCGCGTGCACGGGCGTGAAGGAGGACCTGGGCGCCTGTCTGCTGCAGTCGGACTGTGTGCTCCAGGTAGCGCGGCCGGGCGCTCTGGGTGGTGACCGCGCCTGCAACCTGTGGCTGGGCTCGGGGAAGGCCTCCCAGTCTGCCCGCGGTGGCGGTCCTGTCCAGGCTGTGGGGCACAACACCAGCTTCTCCTCGTGGGCAGATCCCCCGAGCTCTCRGAGCCTCAACTCCCCGCCCACGTGGAGAGGGAGATACGATGCCCGCCCCTTGGGCTTTTGTAAATAATAAGCGGTTTCGGTTCACGAAACTTTTTGACGGCTGGTATCCCGCACAGTTCTGGAGAAATAGAGGAGACAGGTTTTTTGCTTCCTCGAAATTGTTAAGAGACTTCCATAGTCTCACGCTCTTCTGGCCAGTAGTTTCTCCTGCCTGTGCTCAGTCGTGCCTGATCCCGTGTTATATTTGTCATGTGTTGGTTTGAATTTGTTTCTGAGTTGAAGTGCTCTGTGTGCCCAGGTGTGAACTTGTAAATGAAGCAGCTCAATATTTTCAACATTTTGTATATTTCCTTACATTCTTCCCTCACAAGCCACCAGTCTTCTCAGTACCCCATCTGAGATCATTGAGACATACAGTGAGCTTCAAAGTTGACCTAGAACCTGGGTTCTGGTTTAGAGCCCAAGTAAAGCCCACAGGTGCTTCTTCCAATAACAGGACCTATGAGAGGGCAATCAGTTGTGTGCAATTATCTTTGCTTTAGGGGGTGTCATTTCAGAAAGCTGCCCACAAATGGACATCTACCCTTTATCAGTGTTTGAGTCACAACTTATATTCTGTTCACTGCTATTTGCAGCCAGTGAGGATCTTAAATCATACCAAATGGCAACTAAAGCTAGAGTTTAGAAGGCAGTAGTGGGGAAAAACATTGAACTTTGCAGGTTCATAACAATCTATTTGGGTGGTGTCCCTGACACCCACTACACACTATTCCTCACCAGGGACTCAAAACCAAGGGAAACTGCTGAGGTCTGTATCAAGTCTGTATGGCCACTTCATAAAGATTTTTGGTTCCTTAGTTTCTGGAGTAAAGAAGTTAATTGATCATATGGCCGATGGGTGGTATAGTCTCTTTTTGCTAATTTTTAACCACCTGCAGCATCTTACAAATGTTGGCAGGAATTCTGACACAAGTGAATATTTAGTTAAAGGACCTGTCAAGGAAGAGAGTCAAGGAAATAGAGGGGTCAGAGAAATTCAGGATAATGATGGTAAGGCTGTAAGTTCCAGGAATCTGGCAAGGAGAAAGCGACTCAAAAGTCATTTCTGAGGTAGACTTGGAGTTTTATGACTCCTGGGAGATCAAAATGGTTGAGGCAACCACAAGGTTGGCTCTTGGGCTCAGCATGTTTGGGAGCACTGGCTGATCTTAGGGTCAAACATTACAGAGACCCACAATAGTCGCTTAAATAAGGTAGAAAATTCTGGCATTTGCTCATATGCCTGTAAGGCCTGGGTGGCTTCTCTGTCTTCCTGGGCCCATACATTCTTGATCTTATGGCTGTGAGTCCTGTGATGGGAGACAGGATATTACTCTCATAGTCCAAGATTGCCTCGGTCCTACATCATCAGGACTTGTAATCTTAGGGAGTGAAAGGGGCAAGCCTCTTTAAGACAACCCAGAAGTTTTACACGTTTCCCACACATTCCATGGCTAGGACTTGTCCCATGACCACATCCAGCTGCACAGGTGACTGGAAAACCTAGCCCAGCCACATGCTTGATAAAAAGGAAGAATGGATATTGAGGGATAACTAGTCTGTCATTGGGAGTGGAGGGGATGAATGAACGTTTCAGCTCTGGTGTATCTAGATGGATCTTTCCACCAGGCAGCCAGCAATGTAATTTGAAGGCTTGTGAACATGGTAACGTCTTGGACATGGTTTGAGGAGGCATCAGCTTAGTCTTTTGTCTACCCCCACTTGGTCAGCACCACCCATCTGCACTGCTTCAGAGTTTGGGGAGGAACACAGTGGTGCCAGGAGACTTTGCCACTCATTGATGTAGATGATAGTTGAAATCCAGGACCTAGGGAGACATGGAGTAAACGTGGCCACGGTTTCTGGGAATAGGTACATAGACATGGTACCCTGTAGCTTTTTCATAATGGAAACCAGGGGAATGTGACTGTCACTGGCAAACAGGCATTGGGGGGAGTGGTTGGAGAGGCAAGATCTGGAGGGGAAATCCCTCTGCAGAGCAGGCGAAATCTGGGTTATCTTCCTGGAGGGAGCCATCTAGCCTACCTCATCAACATCCATGGAAAGTGTTTAGTTAATGATGTTCTGATTTTAGGGTGCCTAATTCACAATTTTCACCCATAAAGAGATGAAGATCCCAGTTTCTGGATTTTTATATAAGCATATTAAAGAGCCTCAAGGAAAACCAGTGTTTTCAAAAACTCAGGAACCCCTCCAAATTAGACAATTTTTGTCATTCTGTCCCTTCCTCTCTAAGCACCAGTAGTCAAAATGAATTAACTATTTACTATGTAACTGTTTTCCTCTTAATATTTTTGAATATAACTATTTTCAGGACAGTTGCTTTGTGAAATTCCTAGGCATTTATACTGTTTTATTTGTCACAGGAAGGAAAATCTCCTCGGCAGTGTTTGAAGGAAGGATACTGCAAAGCTTTGAAGTATTCATTTTTTGAGTGTAAAAGATCAATGGTAAGTGGCTAAAGATTTTTAAAAGCTTATGTTACAAATCAGCTACTGGAGTGAAATGTGTGAGTGACTTAAGAGTCATCAACAGGTTGCAGTGTGGTATCATTTGGAAAAAAAGGATGTACATGTTTCTTCATCCTGTGAGTTGAATGTCAGGGTTCGTGAAAGCCCCCAGCCTTTCTGTCATCCTGTCATGATGCTGATAAGTCACTGACCTTCATGAATTTCTCCAAGTGTGAATCTCGGCAAGTACAGGTGGGTAAAAGTCAGTAGTGTTCCCTGTGAACCCAGGTCGTTGGCAGTTAGACAGTTAGGGTCTAGGGTGTGTGCCCTTCTGCCTTAGGTGACAGAGAAAAATGTCAGTGTCTGTCTGCATTCTGAAGTGGTGGTAGTGGATGTTGGCCCAGCACACATTGCTGACCTCTTGGTTCTGGGCCAGCATTCTTTGATCTGAAAGATCCAGAGAGATTTGGACTGGGAACTGAGAGCCTTTTCTTGGAGAGAGAAGCATGAAGTTGGAAACGTAAGCATGCCTCCAGAGAAGGCAGCAGTGGGGACTGAGCCTGCTTTTGTTATTGAAGCACATTGCAAGTTCCTTCCCTTTGTCCACAAAGGAAATGAGAGGTGAAAGAACTTGAGGACATCGGCCAGCAGATCTGATCCAGGGAGGGGGTGAAGTTAGACTAAATTTGGCCACACTCTGTTTTCCTTTGTCAAGTGTCAGTTTTCTGCCTTTAGGCAGAGGATTTTTTTGCCTTGCCTCACATGGTTTTGTTACCCATATAAAATGCAAGCTTTTGACTTGTGAAGAACTTAAGCATGTTTCAAGCATTGAGGAATCATAAGGAATAGTTAGTTAGAGTAGGAGATAACGACGTGTTGTACTCTGGAATCATATGAAATGACTCAACAGTAAACTCCCCAAAATTCCCTGCTGAAAGCTCACGCTTGGATCTCCAAAAGATTCAGAAATCATAATTCCCCTGCAGAAGTTTTTAATCATAGATTAAACAGTGAAAGTACTTCTGATTGCCGTCAGTTCAAGGCAGAGCTTCAGTTGACACAGGGAAAGACCGTCTAAGGAAGTCTCTAGCAGACTAGTAGATCCTACACCCTCTCTCCAAGAGTGTGCCTCCTTGAGTCTTCCACAGTGAGTGGAATCATGTCACTCTTTGTGACTGCAATGCCATTATACAAGCTTGACAAAACCTAATCATTTGAACATAAACTTTAAATAATGGATAATTTTGCTTAGTTTCAAGACTGAAGTTTAAGTCCCACTGAGGGTGAGACAAGAATTTGAATCTGCTGTTTCCTCAGTATGAGCAGCCAATCATCCTGATCATGATTCCCAGGTTTAAAGATTTTTATTTCTTTGAAAATATTGTTCTTAGCTACTTTATGTTGTGCTGAGAAGAATGAATGGCTGGCTGTTCCAGGGTGGCTATGTTGGACTCATAGATAAGGCCTGTCTCCCAAATAATTCCTTCCTATGGAATTTCTGGGGAATGGTGTTGACTTCCATGCAGCTTCGTTGTATGATTTCAGAACATTTTCTCTAACCACCATGGTTAAGAAGTGGATCTCTGTGAAGCTTAAATCAAATAACATGCTGTCAGCCTAGGAGGTTATGCGCATTACGGATCTGTGATCTCAAGATGACTGTATCTTAATGTTTCTCAGGGTTCTGTCCCCTTTTCTCAGTTGGTATTGATTTAAAGATTTCATATAGGGGCTGGGACTGTGGCTCAGTGGTAGAGCGCTTGCCTAGCACATGTGAAGCCCTGGGCTCGATCCTCAGCACCACATAAAATAAATAAATAAAACAAAGGTATTGTGTCCAACTACAACTGAAAAATAAATATTTAAAAAAAGATTTCATATACATTTGAATATTAACTGAAATAAAACTTAATGAAGGCAGGTTTGCTGAATGTATGTTTAGTTTAAAGAAAAAGATAAATATAATTTGGATTCTACTCAAGAAGAAAGTCACCTTGAAGTGAAACTTGCTTTTTAGTGCCATCTTTATAATTTTTTTTTCTTGGTAGCTCTTGACAATTGCCTTTTTTGATTTTATTGGAAACTGGTTCATTTCTCTAATGTGGTGACTGACACCCTTTACCAAAGTTGTGTTTAATTAATTACACCATATCAAATTTGATTAAATTGTTCATTTATTTTCAGTTGGATGCCAGATCAAGATTCAGAGGAAGAAAAGGATATTGATACCATTACATTGAAAGCAAGATGAAAACACCAAAGGATTTTTCCACAGAAAAGCCACAATAGGAAATAATTTTTGCTAYATCTGTTTGGTTGAACCAGTTTTCCCTCCATGGAACGCTGGAGAAATTGGATGAATTTTGGTTTTGAATATGTATAAAGCAAATGCTTCTCTGAATCTAAGTTATTTTTAGAAGATAAGTTTAATTGAACACTTATAGGCCTGGAATATAATGTGTTTTGAGATTTTTCCTAAAGTACAAGAAATGGAAAAACTGTTATTTTCAAACCTGACTCTTTAATCATATTACACCATTTATACATCTGGAAGGGACCAATGTGACACTGGAGGCTGTCCACARGATGTTTATTGAGAAAGTTTATTTAATCTATCCTATTTAGTTCTAGAATAAATTGGTTCCTTGGAGAAGAAATGCTTTATTTGCATTGATTCACTGAGGCTGAAGTAAAACCTCAGAACTTTGAAATCTGCCATGGGGCCTAGCTGGATCCCAAGCCCCACACAGTGTTGCCAAGGACTCTTCTATCTCTGACAGATTTTCCCTTTCCTGGTTTCATTTTTAGGGTGGCCCTCTCCACATACAGGACCAGTATCAGCTATAAGCTCACATCCTTAAGGTCTGTTATTCAAAAAGGAGAGAGTGAATTTCCCTTTCCAAGGTCCACAAATCAAATCCTACTGAAGAACTCTGGTCTTCACTGGGTCACCCGCACTGTGGCTGACCACTCCCAGCAGAATCCCAGTAGTGGAATGGCAGGCCTCTTCCCTGAAGGAAAGGGGGATTTTGAGTACATGGAAACAACCGGTGTGTACTGTAGACAGCAGATACAGAAAACATGAAGTGCAAGTTTCAGATTATGGTAATTTTATCAGGATCACTTAATACAGAAGAGAGCCAAAACCTTTAAATAAAACTTTAGGTTCACCTAAAGTTGTGAGAATTCCCCAAAATGCCACTGGAGTCTGCTGTGTATGCTGCTTTTCACTGGGGAAGGGAAGGTGGTGGATTTCTTCAGTGACTCCTTATACCTGTTTAAGTGCTACAACTTTCTTGGTTATTGCAGTGCTGGGCTGGGCCTCAAGGCTACCCACCCCCCACAGTGCTACAACTTCTATTAAATGTAATTCTGATAAACTCTTTAAGGAGTATTTTATAAAACCTTTGTTGAATAACAGCTTTAATGGAGAAGTTCATATGCCACAAAATTCACCCTTACACCATTTCCACTTGGTAGTTTTTAGTGTATGCATAGTGTGTGCAGCCATTACCACTATCTCTTCCAAAACTTTCCTCCACTCCAGAGAAACACATACATACCAGTTAGATCTCCCTTACTCCCCTTCCCTCAGCAACTACTGATACACTGCTGGTCTCCACAAGCTGCTCTATCCAGAACCTGTTATATAAATGGAATTATATAATATGTGGCCTTCCGTGCCTTTTTATTTCACTTACCATAATATTTCCAAGGTTCATCTGTGTGCAGTATCTATCTCCTCACATCCAGTGGTGCAGGTGGTGCCACATTTTATTTATCCATTCATCAGCTGATGAACTAGGTTGTTTCCATTTTGTGTCACTGTGACTAATGCTGTGAGCATCTCTGAACAAGTTTTGCATGGACATGTTTCATTTCTTTTTGAGTATATAACTCAGAGTGGAATTACAATATTGTATGAGAACTCCAACTTTAGCATTTTGATGAACTGTCACAATTCTCCCCAGTGGCTGCACTACCCTTTTACATATTCAGCAATCTCCACATCATCTCCAACAGTTGTTGCTATTTATTTTGATTACAGCCATTCTACTGAGTATGAAGTAGTATCCAACTGGGATTTTGATTTGCATTTCCTGAATGGCTAATGATTTGGGCATGTTTTCCTGTGTTTATTGGCCATCTGTATGTTATCTTAAGAGAAATGTCTATTCAGGTCCTTAGTCCAGTTTTCATTTGCCTTGTCTTTTTATTGCTGATTTGTAAGAGGTCTTTATACGTGTAAATATGAGTCCTTCAAAGATAACTAATTAGCCAATGTCTTTTTCCAGTCTGTGGCTTGCCTTTTCACTTTCTTATTGACACTCTTCAAAGCATGGCGATGCACCAATGTTAAAATCATGAAACATAAATTGCGATGCACCAATGTGGAATCATATTTGTCTTTTTTTTTTTTTTTTTTGGACTGGCTTTCATCATTTAGCAAATGTTCTCTAGGTTCAGCCATGTTGTAGTCTCAGAATTTTCTCCCGCTTTAAAGCCAAACAATATTCCAAATAATATTCCTTTTGCTCATGTCATTATCACGCGCTCATGTGCTCGTCCATCAGTGGACACCTGCTCACTCCCACCTTTGAGCTGCTGTGGACATGTGTCCACAGATGTCCCAGGGGCCCTGCTCCAGTGTGGGCACACACCCAGCAGTGGAGGTGCTGGGGCATCAGTGATTGTCTTTGATGTTCTGAGGAACTGCCATGCGTTTTTCCACAGCAGCCATGCCGGTCTCCATTCCTGTCTGAGGCGCACAGGGACTGCAGCTTTTCCACATCTTGTTAACACTGACATTTCTGTTCTTTGAATGGTGCCATCCTAGGGGACATGAAGTGGCATCTCACCATGTTTTGGTTTGCATTTTTCTAATCAGCAATGATGACAACATCGTTTCATGTGCTTGTTGACCCTTTTCCTGTCTTTGAAGAAATGGCCTTAGGTCCCTTTTCCATTTGTAAATTGAGTCATTTCCTTTTTTGGTGTCATGGTGAAGAAATCATTTCCCAATCTAATGAAGCTCTCCCCCTATGTTTTCTAGAAGTTTGAATAGTTTTATCTCTTAGATTTAGGTCTTTACTAGATTTTGACTTGATTTTGTATATGATGTAAGGGTCTAACTTTTTTTTTTTTTTGCACGTGGATATCTCATCTCTCAACATCATTTATTAAAGATTGTCCTTTCCCCCATTGAATGGTATGGCACCCTTGTGGAAAAACATTTGCTCATATATGCCAGGGATAATTTCTGCACTCACTATTCTATTACATTAGTCTATATCTGTATTTTTGTAGTACCGGAGTCTGAACCCAGAGGTGCTCTACCACTGCCACAGCCACATCACTACCCTTATTATTATTATTTTTACTTTGAGACAGGGTCTTGCCAAGTTGCTGAAGATGGCCTTGAACTTGTGATCCTCCTGTCTCAGCCTCCTGATTCGCTGGGATTACAGGTGTGCACCAGTGCACCAAGCTATATGTTTTTAAGCTAGCCAGTTTCACACTGTTGTGATTCTTGCAGTTTCGCAGTAAGTTTTGAAATCATATGAAAACTTCAGCTTTGTCCCTTTTCAGGATTGCCCATTTGGGGGCCTTTGGAGGTCCCCTATGGATTTTTCCATTTCTGAAAAAAAAAAAATGCTGATGCGATTTCGACAGGAATTGCACTGCATCTATGCACAGCAAAGCTGGGCCCTGTGGGAGCTTCTTGCAAGACCAACCCCATAGCAGCTTAAAAGAGAGACATTTTAGGAAACAAGAAAGAAAATATGACACAAAAACAGGAGTTCATGTTACTCCAGATGGAGCATTCTGTGAGGGCATGGCTGGAGACGGTGCTGGCCGGAAGGGCCACCCCGGGAGCTCAGCAGTACATCCAGACATGGCCAGGCTGGCCAAGAGGAAGGAGTCACTCTGACCTTAGCAAATTCAAATACAGCATGTGCCTTGTGCCAAAATAATTCCAGGTGGATTAATTAAGAATTCAATGGAATAAAAAAAAATACCGGAAATAAGAACAGGTGAATATTGACAACACCATCTTGAGGCAAGAAAGCCAAGGCAGAAAGCACGAGTAGTATCCAAGCATGCATCGACTGGATCATGCAAGTGCCAGCAAGACACAAGTCCAGGCCCACAGTGCACACAGGCCACACTCTACTTCGGAGGCAAAGATGTGGCTGCCCATCTGTGTCACCTGTAGTAGTGAGTCCGAGACGTGTTTAGAATAAGCATCAAGCAGAAAGACAGGCACACGACTACATAACAGCTTCTGCATACCTCCCCCATTGCAAAGCCAAGACGGCTGACCATCAGGTGTGAAAAATCTGTAACAGGCGACAGACGAGTTGACAAGCGGAGTTGCAAAAACATGAACATCAGTGAAAGTATAAAAAGTGTCTGATGTTCCCACTAATCCAAGAAACAGGCATTGAATGATGTCGTTTCCAAGTTGAATGAGAATAAAAGGGAAAGGCAGCGGCTTCTCTTTCTGGGAGTTTAAATTCTCCTTGCACAGACGCTTCTGTTACTGGGAGCTTACCTGAGAGACCCCTGGGCTGTGTTCCTAGAAGCAGCTGTGGAGCTGCACATGGCCATCCTGGTGAGGGAGCAACCATGGGCCACCAGTATTCCAGCAAGTCACATGGCAATGAGCCATGTCTGCCGGCGGGAAGGTGACCGTAACATACGTAAGAGATGTCAAGAAATTTGCTCCAAGTCACCAGCCAGTGAGGAGCAGAACCTCGGGCTGTCTGCTGCTGACATCCAGGCTCTTAACCCCACACCCTGCTGCCCCTCTGCTTCAAATTAAATGAAAATGAGACTGAAGAATGAGTCTTGTGTGGTACTCAATGCAGTGGCCGGCAACAAGGGTCCTGTACAACGAGTCTTTTCAACACAGGAGAATGAGTCAGGCAAGACCAAGTTCTGTGTTCTTGTCAGTGGTTTATTGTCATTCTAAGGACTAGCACATTTACAGCATACATGGCTTCGAATGAGCTAAGAATATATAAAACAGTAACTGTATGTTTATATATTAATACTGCCCAAAACAAATAAATAAAAGTATTTTAATGCACTAAGCTTGGCAAGTACAACTGTGTGGGGACAAAACTGTATTATACAATGTTTTTACATCTTCAAAGGAAACTAAAGGCAACTGTGCTGCAGGAGCTCTGACAGAAACCCTGTGACATTTCCAACTGTCCCACATCTGGACATTTCTCTTCCAAGTGGATCGGGGAGGTGCAGTGGGTGGAATGCTGCTGCGTGGTGACCTGTAATGGCGCCTGCCCCGCACAGCAACACTGGGCTCCTCCTCCTCCAGCTGCTGGCACCCTGGCTGTGCAGCGATGCCCCTGGGAGCCGGGTACAGTGCCTCCAGAGAGGATCCTGATGCCTGAATCTCCTTAGAGTTATGACGACCCATAACACAAAGCAGAACTTGGGAAAAAAATTCACATAAAGGTGCCACACGCAAAACTGCTGACAGATGAGTCAACATTTGCCATAGTCCCTTTATAAATGCAGATAGTTAATGCTCTTTGGACAAAAAGAAGGGCAGAAAACAATATGGGTAACATTTAATTAAAAGAAAAACAAAGTTTTTCAAAAGGTTGAAATGAGCAAGAATGGAACTAAAAACTTACAAATTAAATGAAATGGTGGAGAGGGTGCCTTTGAATAGGGAGTGATACTTAAAGAGGAGAATCTGATGCTAGCTGAACAGCCACCTGTGTGGGGGGTTGGTGGACAAGAGTTTCTCTGCCACTCTCCCTCCACTGTGAACTAGCATCGAGGGAGGGGCAGTCAGCCACAAGCACCCCTCATTAGTGTCCTCCACACACCAGCTCACTTCTCCCTCCCCGCTGGCACCAGGAGACAGCGAGCTCTGTTAGCACCTGACTTCTGAGTAGGAAAGGCCAAGAGGGTCACCCAGTTCCACCCTACCTTATGCCCACTCCTCTGTGTCCCTGCCAAGGACTGGTCCTGCCTGTGCCTCAGTGACCCAGGCCCAGCGACTCTACTGGACATTTCTCAAGGAGACAAGAATATATCTAGACTTCTAGACTTAAAGATATTTCCAAGGTGTTTACAAATCATTAGAATCAGAATCATTACTATGTGCCATATATATTTCTTTTATAGCCTCTTAAATAACATGTAAACATAATTGTGAGAAACAACAGAATCGATAAAACACATAAATTCCCAAAGAAAAACAACTCTGCTAAGTGCAGAAAGACTCATCGTCACCTTTTATAAGATGACAAGACATAATTTCTATGAAATTCCTAAGTTTCCTGGCCCATAAATCCCTTTCAAAATCTCATTTGAGGAGATACTTTCAACTGTTTCTCAATAGTCATCTTACATAACAGAATGAGAAGAGGAAAGTAACAATTATTGCAAACCTAAAAGTAAAACACTTTGTCAGATATTCAGACATGATTGTATTGTCTCGCAGAAGACCTATAGGATATCCCGCAAAAATCTGAGAATATTCAGGTATCCACTACTCTACAGTCCCCAATTCCCCCTGGAGTGTTGTTCCTCAGACATCAGACACACCACGTTTAAGGTCCTCAGTTGGGTAATAAAGGGAGATGTGTGCTGTGGGCCCTAGGAGCAGAGCCTATAACAGGGATGGTGACAGGAACCTCACTGCTAGCTTCATGTCTCAAGCGTCACCTGTTCTGGAGCTTGTGTGGGACGGAGAGAAGAGTGGCCCGAGGTGTGGGCTCCCTGGCAGGGGTGCCCTCATGGAGTTTCACCTCAGGTGGGCTGACTGGTCTTTCGCCTCTGGGTTTCCCAGGTGGTGGTGGCACAGGTGACTCACTGGAGCCGCTGTCCTCACTGCATGCACTGCATGAGAACAACTAGCGTCTTTTCCCCAAAATATGAGTTAACATTTATTTTTCTGCCTGGGGTCTGATTGTTTTACTGTTTTACATTCAGATTTTTAAAAGTAGATTATAATTCAATGCTCACTTCTAAGTTACTCAGTAGAAAAATAAGTTAGGTGAGCAGTGCCTACGTGGGCATCTGAAAAAGTCCTCTGGCATTCCAGACAAACCTAGCTGGAGGCTTACAGGTGGCTGTGGACGGCTACCAGGTGGTGACAGCTGGAGGCTAATTAACTGGGTGCTGGTCACTATCCCCACTACTGAGCCACACAGTACCTCCTATGGATTCCAACGGAAAAAAACATGCTCCATAGACTCTTTAGTGAAATATTTTAAAAACACAAAAATAAAAACCAATCCTTCAGGTCTTCTTGAAGAATTCATGTGTAACACTAGAGGGTACCCACATTTATCCTGTAACAGCTATTGAGAGGACACCGTGCTCACGTCTCAACTTTGCCGTAAGTCCCTTCGGGAGGCCTGTAATGCCTGGGGAAAGCCTTCAGCTGCAGGGAATTAAATGCATATTTGCGACTTCCAACATTCTTCATTGTATTTTCTCTCCGACAACCCTCACTGGGGAAAAAAACAAGCACAAGAAATGACAGCAGTAAAAAAGGAAAAAAGAAAAGACTTAAACTAAGATGAAATGAATCATTTTCATAGCATTAAAAAAAAGTTAATTTAAATGGGTGCTGGACTCGTCTACGACAAATACACACAGAAGATGGCAGGTTTCTGAACGAGGCAACTGAGAAGCACAGAGATGGATACATGCTAAAAGGGGCTGGGAGTTTTGCATTTCTAATGCAGTGCTGTACCCAAATGGAAGCAATTATTTTTAAGTTAATATCTCATCCTGTATCTCAGGCCTAGTTATCTGGGTTCTATCATAATTCATGGTTCAAAGGCTGTGTCACATAGCAAATTAAATGGGACAAGAACTCCTCCTCCTCTTACCAAAGTCTTTAATGAGCTGCATTTCTGCATGTTAACAACAGTCGTAATCATATCAAATGCAATGTGCTGATTTTCCCTGCAGAATCAATCCAGTATGTAGCAAAGCCATCTAGCTAAGAAGGCTGTCCTGACACCCACCTCCACCTAGGGGCCAGCTGTTCTAGGGTAAAGGGACCACAAGGGCCATGCACTGCACAGCTATTGGGGCTGGGGCTGGGGCGGAGTGACCCCACTGAGGTCACCTGGTGATACCAGCCGCCTTCTCTGGGTAGACTGCCCTCACTGTGGGCACTTCAGGTGCCAGGGGGAGCCACAGTGCCCTTCCCTAGAGAACTCAGTACCAGCATCATCTTCGGGCTGCTCTCGATGGCAGGTTGTCATGGCAACCCGCTAACAAAACAGATGGTGCCGGGAGGATGCATGGGCAAGGCAGGCTCACATTCTCGGTGGAAGAACTCAGGGGAATTCTCTGGGAAAGGTCCTGGTACAGACATAAAATTAATAGGCAGAAGCAATTCTGAATGAAACGGCTTCCCACAGCACAGTGTGACTTGGTACTGTTACCTTGTTCTAGCATTGGCAATGAAATCAACTAGTTATCAAGTTTAGTATAAAATTCCCCTTATGAGATGTAAAATTTGCAGTTACAAAGAAACAGTGATTTAAAAAAAATACTTCAAATTGTATGAAGACCATTATGTCATGCATTTAAAAAAATATCAGTGGCAATTGCTCAAGCCTTGTAAGTGAAAAGGACAGTCTCATTATCAAGAACATGTAAAAGAGTTTTTGGTAAGATAGTAATTTTTATTCAAAAGATAAACTTGAGTATTTTTTTTAAAAAGTATCCACTTGATTCTTTTAACTAACATAGTGACTCAGGTGTGCTTCCTTGTCCCAAAGCCTCAAGCCCTCAGCTGGACGTGTGTGATCTAAGCTGAACACTTGGGCCACATGAGCAGGGTCCCCAGAGTAAATAATGATCATGTTTGTATAATATTCAGAAATCACAGAAAAATATAATTCTATTTAAAGCAGAAGCTGTAGGCTCCTACACAGTTAATATCCGTTAACCTTTGGAAGCTCTTACGTTAATGGACTATTTCAGATATGGCTTCTCCATTTACATAGAAACATACAAACATCTCAAAAACTGCCTGTCACTAGTAAATGCCAAACTCCCTTGAGGAGCAGGAAGAATAATTTGGGAACTTTTATGTTCTCCTGTATTTACATGTGAAAGAAGCTAACCCCTGGTTTAGCTGGCTGAACAGATTATACATGAAATTATAATCAAGATTATACTGTCATTTCAATTTAGTTATAAATCAAATTATTTTCCTCCCAAGTATTTGCATTTATAAAATCTGGCTGCTGTGGCTGATCTGGTTGACAGTAACATACTGTCAATGGTCACCATGTGATCTGCTAGTTCCATAAGCTGGCACTAAAGCTGGGGACCAGGGCTGCATATGCTGAAATGATCTGGGATGGATTTTAACAAGAGGTATTAATTATTCTGAAGCTACATGATTTTTAAAATCCTACCAGCAAGTTATTAATTTTCAAGGATTTGGATGGAAACCCTACATGACAATTAATTTTAAGGGAACCGCTGGTCTCCCTTTCCAGTAGGGATCAGTACCTCAGAACTCATCTGGAGACCTCAGAGCCTCAGTGATTCCACATCAGACATGGGGAGTTGCCTTGTGGGAGGACAGTATGCCCATCTTTTAAGATCTTGGCTTGAACGAGCCCCCAGAATAAACAGTGTCAGTCACACTAGTTGAAAGAACTGGCACCACCCAGTGGGAACTGCTTCTGAGTGTGGTTCTCTGATTCCAGAGGGATGACTTAATGCCGAGGTCTGGGTGGCTGGCGCCTACGATGCTTCAATGCCTCGGCACTGGTTTGCTTCTGAAGCATCACCCATGGCAGTGCCTCCTCTGTCCTGAACCAAACCCCATCCCTGCTCCACCTAAAAGGAGAGCATCCGGAAAGAAAACAAGCTAGCTTCCCCTCCTGCCTAGGCTGGTGTCATGGTGCTTCCTAGGACCAGTCTTCCATGACTGGAGGCTCCTGGAAGCGACTGGAGGAGATGGAACACCCCATCCTCACCTCCTTCCATTCTCTCTCTCTCTTAACCCAACAGCCACGCCTGTGCTGGACAGGAAGGTGTTGCTGGCACCATGGCTGGCGAGGATCAGGCCTTGCTGTCCTGGAAGCCCCCTCGGAGGGGTCCTCTGGCCACCACAGCTCCCCTTTGCTGTGAAGTGGGATTCCAAGAGGAGCCCCTGCAAGGTGCCATAGAGCACTTGGGCTCTTCGAGAGGGAGGGCGCTGTGTGTAGTCAAGAGGGCCTCCCTCCTCTCCGCCCAGCCACTAGCTCCACCCTGGAGGTAGGCGTGTGCATGGGCTGCCACCACGGGCATCAGGGTGCATCGCCCAGATGGGAACAGGAGGCTGTGGGGTCCATTTTCCCACTTTCAAATGAAGCAAATAAAATGGACTTAGAGAGCTGAAGTACATACCTTGAGGCAAAAGAGGGCAAGCATCAAACACCTTCCAGAGAAGCACAGACCGGCAGGACACTGCCTAGTGAATAGTGTCAGTGTGCTACAGCACAACACCACCCCTCAGCTGGCAGGCAGTGAACCTCCACTGGAGGATGCAAGGAACCATACTTATTCCAGGAGACAAATGAACTCTCCCATGGTGTGACAGAGGTGACACATGTCCTTGGAATCCTGCCAGTGCTGGGGGGTCTAGAAAGAAGGGCATCCTTGGGCTGTGATAAAGATGGTCTTACATTGTATCAGTTGGATTCTGGCCTTTGTACTACTTCTGTGTTTCCTAGTGTGCAACTCCAGGCTGATGCCAATTCAGAGAAGCCCCAGAGTAAGGGCTGGAAGTCTTGGAGAGAGGAGAGAGAGGCCAGCTTCTGTGGTGAACTGGATTTGTGTGCACCAAGGCATTAAGGTTCTGGGAAAGCCAGATTCTCTAATTCAACCCAGTTTTTCCAGAGTGGTAAAAAGAAATCCACTCATAAAACACAGCATATGGGGAAGTGACTACTTCCCGTGTTCCAATGCTGGAGGAGCAAAACCAGAAGCACAATATGATATGAACTGGATAAGAGAGAAGCCACTGTTTCTTACACAGGGCGTGTGGAATTTCCCCAGATTCATGTGGTCACCTTTACAAATGTGATGTCAATCTCCTGCCACACGTTGAACATACTGTTTTAGGGATACTGCATGTTAAAATCAACCAGAAACCACAGTGACCTCTCTTCTCAGCTCCATCTGCCACAACTGACCAAAAGTTAGACCTTCATTTTTTGGTAATTTTCCTTTGATTAGTTTTTGTTCATTATTAACCATATTTGATTAGTAAGAGAGAAAAGCTTTCTGAATTTCAATTTGGAATTAAAGATATCATTTTTCAAATGAAAAATGGTATCTCAAGAAAAATAAATGTATATGACTTTAATGGCCTTTTGTTATTCTGTGCATGAATTCTTGAAGCCAGTTTTAATGAATTTAAAGAGTCAAGATGAACCTGAGTCTCGTGCAGTACGTAATCTTCATGTGCCTGACTTGGTACAAAGTGTTCTGTGGTCACAGCCTGTTACCCCAATCAAAAATAATAAACACACGCAAGGAGATGTTAGGATTCTGCAAACTGTTTGCTACTATAATCCAGGGACTACGCTTTGAAATGAAAGCAGAAAGTACATGTCCTATTAAATAGGTTAACTAGATGAGCCAGTTATAAAGCATCTATATATGTCTTTTCATTTTTCTTCAAAAGGAAAGGAAAGTTTCGCAGTACACTTAAAGAATAGTATCAAATATACAAATATTTCCAGACAGAACTCCTTTCTCTTGGAAATAGGGCACATTGAGATGTACAGGTAATAAATAGTTTTACATCAGAGGGTAAGAGATCTGGTACAAGTAATTGCAAGCCAGCTAGATTAACGCAGGAACGTTAGGGTACCATTGAGAACATGTTACAAGCACTGAAGACGCTATGTGATTAAATGAACAAGTCCTCTTGATGAAATAATTTGGCAGGTATTTACAGTTGAGAAGACAAAACGTCAAACTGTAAGGCATGAGATATTTCTTGGCAGACCACGCTCTGACACCTTCCTTCTGTCCATTTAGGTACTCGGTGGCTGGACATATTCGGGCACTTTTGTTTTTCTTGTGACTTATTAATTTTTCATAATGATATTCATTTGCAACGCAATTTGGTCACCAGGTATGCTATGCTCAGAAAGAGCCACACAATCAGTAAATTGGGGCTCAGAGCTAATAAAGGAATGGAACAGAGGAGGCTGGGGTCTAGCCTTAAGTCTCGGATGGGCACCAGGCCGCTCAAGTTCTTCTGGGTGACTACCTCCCGTGTTCCAATGCTGTGAAAAGGAAAAAGTTTGGGAGAAAGGAAAAGAAAAAAGGAAAGGAAGAAAGAAAAAAGAGACACGTGCGATGGATTTTACCCAAAAGTATGGAAAAAAAGAGGAGAACCAAAATATAAAACAAAAGGAAACAATGGAATGGAGCCACAACAGAAAGAAAAAATGATATCAGAGAGGGGATGAAAGGAGGACCAAACAAAACCAGCACAGTTACGGGAAAAGAAAGGAGAGAAAGAGAAGTGAAAATAAGAAAAAATACTGCAGTTTACTGAAAATAAACACATGTAGGTTGAAACAATGGTTTTCCATGTTCACCCTCTCTCGGTTGGCCAAGCACAGCTCCATGCCGCCCACCATGCCCCACATGCTGCAGACGGGCATTTCTGAGACGCAAGCTGAACATGAAGAACCATGGGGGTTGACCTTCTCACAGATGCCTGAGCATCAGCTGGCACGACACAGCAGGCCAAAGCCGCCTCTTGGTTAACTGCACAAACAAAAACCATTTACTAAGATTCCAAAGGAGCGTCCTCCCCAGACCCACCCTGTCGCAGGCGAAGCAGTGGCAGAGCCTGAGCGATGGTGCCTCCAGTTTGCACACATCTGTTTTATGTGCTGACTCCTGAGAAGGAAGTCCAATCCCACGCTAGAAATTTTATCTTTCCCCCTTTTGTGCTGAAGAAGAAATGTACCGGGGACTGGAGGTGAAGGAATAGCTTAGGGTTATAGCACTGGCAAGGTGCTGGTGCTGGGTTCAATCCAAAAACATGAAAAAGAAATGCACCTAGATGAGATGAGATGGCACCTAGGACACCAGACTCCAGAGCCACAGCCACATCCACGTCCACCAAGTAGCAACAGTACAGAGCCAGAGGCCCCAGGGCAGAGCAGGCAGCTGGGAGCATCCATCTGGAGATGAGGAGGCCCAGGGCCAGGGCCCCTCCTAAGCTGAGTCCTCTGAGCTTCCTAGGGAGGCCCTGCTGGGATGTGCTGTCCTGGCAGGGAATGCTCTCCTGGCCGGCACTGGCTAGTGGTCTCATTTCCTGCCAGTACAGGCTGCTGGGTCACTGTGGCTGCTCAGGAAGGCCTGCTGTATAAGGGTTCCAGCCCCAGTGGGCACAGAGGAACACCTCTGGTGTGTGCTGTGCACTCCCAAGGCTCCAAGAACTGAGTGTGTGACTCTCCTCCCAGCTCTGTGGTCACTGGTGCCACACTCAAGGCTTGAATGGGCCCCGGTAGAGTTATTATGCCACAAAAAGTGAGAAACACTACAGATCAGGTCTTTTTTGGAGAGAGCTTGTCACTGGACGTTTAAGCACAGTGCTGGCCACCACCCTCAGTCTCCAGGAGTCAGTGGGTGTCAGCTTTGCTCCCCCTGCACCCCACATTCGCATGCCACACTATTCCATCTAGTAAAATGTGAGGGAGGGAGCAAGAGAACCAAAGAGCTCCCTCTACTTAAGGGCACAGAGGTTGTCACTGCCTTCTCAGGGCTCTCAGGTGAGCTGTGGGTGCTGGTGATCACAGAGCCAGATGCCAGCTAGCAACGCAGCCACTCAGGCTTGCAGTCAGCTAACAGGTACATGTCTCCTCCACAGTGAACGGTCAGCAATCAGAGTCAGGCATGGCAGTGTCACTCAGAACAAATGCCTGGGGCACTGCAGGGTCAGCGCTCTGGGTTTTTTTTTTTAAGACTTCTTAAATAATTATTAAAGTAGGACATGTTCACTGTAGAGATTTTAGAAAATTCAGAAAAAATGAAAATTTAAAAAGACATCTGTCACTGGAAGCAGAGGAAGGTCAAAGGAKTGGCACCCATCCCCTCTGAAGAGGGTCCATCTCTGTTCAGGATCTCAGGTCCCCTCAGGAGTAGAGAGAGGCACCCTGACTACAGTCTCTGAAGTGCTGGGAACAAGGGCAGTGATTACAGTTCTCAATGAGGGTGGTGGGTGGGCACCAACCCTGGGCAGGAGTATGACTGGTCTGGGAGCCACTTGCCAACAGGTATTAAAACTACTGAGAATCCTCACAAAGATTTATGCTTTTTAACCTAAAAAATCAATTTGGGGGCTGGGGTTGTGGCTCAGTGGTAGAGCGCTTATCTGACATGTGTGAGGCAGTGGGTTCAATTCTCAGCACCACATATAAATAAATAAAATAAAGGTCTATCATCAACAACGAAATATTTTAAAAAATCAAATTGGAAAATGCAGGTAGGAAAATATATAAGGATATTCACTGCACTGTTGATTTATAATGCTGTCAAATCATAAGCACCTTAAATAGTCAATAAAAAAATTAGATTTATCATGATGTGTTAAAAGGGATAAGATCTATATTTATTAACCTGAAAAGAATGCTCACAATAAGTAAATGAAAAAAAGTAGTCTATAGTCAGGGGTGGTGGCCAGGCCTGTAACACCTGACTCATGAGGCTGAAGCAGGGGGATTGCAAAGCTCAAGACCAGCCTCAGCAACTTAGCAAGACCTTATCTTAAAATAATATATAAAAAATGGGGTGAGGATGAGGCTTTGTGGTTAAGTTCCCCCAGGTTCAATCCCCGGTACCAAAAAAAAAAAAAAAAAAAAAAAAGTGGGTAGACTGTGCATATAACTGCATTTGTGCATATGAGTGTATTTGGCTTGTGTATTATTTAGGGACTAATTAACCAAGGTGTGCATTAACCAACTCAATGTATCCATCCATCCATCCTAAAGAATGTATCTCAGTTGTTAACATGGCTATTGGTTAATAGTAGGTATAGAGGGTTCTGCAGGCTGTGTGTTTGTGTTTTCTAATTTTCCTACTAAGACTATCAATTATTTATGTGATTAAGAGTTATAGAAATTACTTTGTGTGCTGTAATAGTTGTGATAGCTATCCTACATGTGGATGTAGCTCAGTGGTATAGCATATGCTTATTAGTGTGCTTAAAGTTTGTGATAACTATCCTGGTCTGGGGATGTAGTTCAGTGGTAGTGTATGCTTATTAGTGTGCTTGAAGTCCTGGATTGAATCCCCAGCACAAAAACCAAAATAAAATAGCTGTCCTGCATGAAAAGCCCCAAGTGGCCTTGGGGTGGGCGGGGGTGGCCCTCCCAGGTATAGGGCTTGGCAGGCCCTTAAGTTAAACCGGGTCTCTCTCTGGGGGGCACTTTTTCCCTGGTCTCCTGAGACCCTGATGCTCAGATGTAGTCAGAATGGATTGTTGGTTTTGCTGAAATTGTTCACAAGCTCAAAACTGGAGAGCAACAGGCCTAATTTGGGACTGTAACGACCTACTCAGTAGACCTGACCTGGGCTTGGCCTCCACAGCATAAGGCCCCTGTCTGGCTCTCCCTTGCCTCTCCACTGGCAGAGGACTCCAGCTCCTGTGCCCTCCCCCCGCACCCCACAGCTCCTGGAGTTCGGGATGGCTACCAGGCTGTAGCACCAGGTCACCTTGGATGGACGTGGAGCCTGAAGCACCCTGAAGCTCCTGAACACATGTCCTTGATCAAATTTTTTTTTTAATTTTTTTTTAAAGTGCTCCCAAGCAGGGGTTATCTGAATCTCCACTGCTTCTCCATTGAGGGGCAAGGGATGGAGAGATGGACTGACCTTAACAGAGGCTTAGATGAACTTAAGACAAAATGATGCCATTTTTACAAAATGCTGTCCTCAAGAGGCAAGAGCTCATGCATCACTTTTGTGCATTATTGTGAGAAGGTCAAATGTCAGAAACATACAGAAAGGATAAGAGAATCGAACACTTTAAAGAATTTGGTGAGAGGACAAATGATACAGAACACTCAGTAGAAGTGACCGCTGGAAACGAGACTTTAACAGCATTGGTGACTACATCGAAGAAGACAGGAAAGCCAGGTTTCTTATCCTTTCTTTTGGTATGTGAGGTAGGGCTGCCCAGCAGTGCTTGAAACAAGGCATCGATCAACAGTGGACAGTCTGAGTTCTGGGTTTCATTCTGCAAATACGCCTGCTGCCTCAGAATCAGGACGTCATTAGGGGGACGTGGCCAGGACACACTGACAACTGTCACCATAAAACACTCACTGGACACTTTGCTCATAAAAGCAAACTGTGCCCACTGCTCAAGAGGAAGCAGAGCAAACCAGTGCAACCTGCAGACGTGTCTCTTCACCCAAGTTTGGAAACACATAATGTACATGTGGAAGGCACTGAAGATGACCCACTCGGAGGCCAGAGCCACGCACAGGGTCCCCTACAGAAACAGAAGAGGCCTGCAGAGAAAGCACAGGCCCCAAGTCCCACCTACAGTCAGGCAGGTGGCCTGGGGATGCCACAGGTGTCCCTCCTCCTTAATTGCCCGCCCTTCTGCATTTCAGTGCAGTCCTGCTCAGGAAGACGGCAGCTCCTCCCCATCACCTTATGAGAACAAGAATGCTGCCTGAATTTGACAGGGCCAATGGTTTGACCAGTGGTCAAACTCTAGTAGGTGTCCGCGGGTGCGGGTGCGGGTGCGGGCCCGGCCAGGCGCGGCTCATCTGCAGTTTACACGGGGGAAGGGCGGGCAAGCGGCCCGCAGCGGCACTCACCTGCGCATGCACTCCAGGGCCTGAGTGAAGACCTGCGGGGCCATGCCGTGCTCGTGCTGCAGGATCAGGCACTGCTCCAGCGTCACTGACATGGCTGTGCGGTCCTTGGCACTCTTGCAGCTGGTGAACCGGACCCCGTTAAGGCGGCGGCAGATCTGCCAACAGGAAGCAGGCTGTGCTGAGGAGGGGACACTCCAAAGGGGAGCATATCTGCTTCCAAGGGGGCGCCCCACAAGCCTGGCAGGGTAGCTCCATGCCCAGTCCCAGCAACGGGAACCAAGTCACCTGCAAACAGGCGCCGCTTGGAGGCCCTGCTGCCCCAAGGCTCTGTCTTCATGGTGCCTTCCTGTTCCTTGAGTGCTCTCTTCCTGTCCTCTCCCATGGGACACTCCTCCCAAGACCAGCTTTCCTCCCTCTTGCAGTATTACTGCTCTTCTTCGACCCTCCCAGTTGTCCCCTTCCAAGCCATCCTGGGACCTTCCTGGCATGTCTAGCCCTTTACTGCCAGCCCCCAAGCAGAGAAAGCACTGAAGATGACCACACAGGGGAGGCCAGAGCCACTCACAGGGTCTCTTGTTCCTGGCCAGGTCTCCAGGACTCAGGAAGGCAGGGACAGACCCACTGGTCTCAGATCTCCTTTACCCACACAGAGGGGAACAGCCCAAGAGGAGCCACCTCCAACCACAGGCCCTTCTCCACTCCCACCTCCCTCAGGGTCCTGGGCACAGGGTCAGACACCAACCGATCCCTCCCAGACTGCTCAGTCACGTGGGTGGAGCAGGGCAGCCCCAGACTGGGACAGGTCACTCTGCACCTCTTCTCCCAGTGGGAAGAACRCTGAGGGCACTTCCTTTGTACCAGTAGATAAAGTCCTAAGTTCACATCCCCAAGTTCAGTCAGCTTTAAAAGAGGAAAGAGGCTTTTTTTCTTTCTAAGTTTATGGCAGACTCTCTTAGCAGTATAACCAGACCTGAGCTGATGAGAGTATTTATACTTTTTATATGAATATTCATACTTCTCAATGAGGAAATACAAATGATTCTATGGGGCTGCCCCAGACTCCCCCAAGAACAATAAGGCACAGTGGGCCCTTGTATACACGGGTTCTGCATCTGGGGAGTCAATCAACTGCAAATCAAAAATACCAAAAGAAAAACCGCCTCTGTACTGAACATGAAGACTTTTTTCCTGGTCATGACCATCTGCACAGTGTTCACACTGTACTCAGTGTCGTAAGTCACCTAGAGATGATTCAAAGAGCACAGGAGGATGTGTGCAGGTTCTATGCAAATCCCACACCCTTTATATTATATAGAGACTCAGCAGAGCATCCTTGGATTTTGGTATCTGCAAGGGGCCCTAGAACTGATCCCCCACAGTGCCTGGGATGGCTGTATTTATATGCACATATGTATTAGGTATATTATACATGTCTATACAACTTTGCACCGTATTACTGCCCTAAAATCTGAAAAATCTGTGCATTTCAAAATATCTGGTCACAAGAAGTTTAGATAAGGGCCTGTGACCCTGTACCAGATACTGTACTGTTGAGAGCAGGTCTGGCATTTAGTGAAAGATCACCTAAGCTATACAGTGGTGGGCTCTCAGTTACCTGTTATACTCTAGAAAAATATTAGAATTATCATTGACTGTCCTGGAAACAGTGCTGCCCCTGCCTCTCAAGCCCTCAAAACCACTTGACATAAAAACAGTGAAGCCTTAAGAAACATGTTAAGAGAAAGGCACTAAGGTCCTGGTTCAGATGAGACAATCAGGAAAAAAGGCTTCTTTTAAGGTTAAAAAAAAAAAAAAAAGACCAAAGTGACCCAAAACTAGCAAGGGTAAAACACAAATTTTGAAGTCATAATTGACAAAGTAAGGGTGAACTTGAACTTGGTGAGCTCACTACATCCTATAGATTGTTGACTTCATGACTCAAATATGAGGCATAAGCTGGAACTCTAAATAGACTCCAAAACCATTTAAATGGCACTTGGAGAGGCGGTGCATCCAGAGCTGGCGTGCGTGCCCACAATGCACCTGCAGTGCCAGGCTGCTAGCCCAGAGGGCCATCAGCCAGCCCTTGGGCTCTGGCCAAGTCTCCCTTCTATGAACTGAAAGGTCACACCTGACTCAAGGTATTCCAGCTCTTTAGCCAGAGACTCTGCTCATATACAGAAATGAAAAGAAATATGATTCAGAGAAGAGAAGCTCTGGGAAACTTGGTACCTCCCGCTGAGCTCCAGGGCTGGGCGGGTTATGCTGCCACAACCTGAATTAAACTCACAACCTCATCAGAAGTGAATTGAGTGACTAAGTAGGAAACTGCTCTGAGACCTAGACCCAAAGCAGCGACTTGGAACTCCACAAGTAAAGTTATGAAAACATATGTGCAGTGTAAGTACTTGGAGAACTGCGATCAGAATGGCAATACAGGCAAGGACTGTTTAAAGGGAGCTGAGAGTCCATCACAGTCTCTCTTCAAACCCATTACAAGCCAAAGGAGGTGGTGAGGTTGAGCTGGTATGCACTGTGTAGGCTTCTGAAGGTGCTGCCTGCCACCAGCCTAGCCCCCAGGACAGACTGGCTCAAGCTTATCAGTGTCCTGGCAGCCCTAATGCAACCAACTCAAAGGCAACGTTCAGCATCTCCCAGAGTCTCGGAGCACGTTCAGTTACTTTCTTTGTATCCTTAGGGAGGAATCTGCTCGCTCCACCCTGGTTCAGATTCCCACTGTCATTATTTTTGCTATGATGCTTGGTAGCAGGTGTGGCTATAACCACTTCCCTACCACAGCAAGTACCTCGGCAGCTTGCCAGAGGATGTCCACGTTCTTATTCTTCCGGGCATGGACGTTCTGACCCAGAAACCGCAGCAGTTCTGGCAGACAGGTCTGACTTCGGGATCGAGGTAGACCTGGAAAGTAAGAGGAGTCTGTGGGAGTAGGAGCCATACCAAGGGTGCTGCTGCCAAGGATGTGGGAAAATGACCAATTCAGAGCCAGAGAAGAAGGGAGGGAGGTGCCGAGCAACTGGACATGGCAAGCCCTTGATTTCTTTCCCTGTGACATTAGTGTCACCTTCAAAGGGCAGTTGCTTTATCTCCTCTGAGCTCTCCCAAGGGGCTAGGGAGCAGAAGCTAAGGAACTATGGGGTACTATGGCCTCAGTACCTCTTCCAAGGGAGGTGGTTGGGAAGGAGTGAGGATGGTCCAGGTAGTCTCCAGAACCTCTGCCAAGGACGGAAAACCTCTGAGCCAGGGTGTATAGACCACTGCGCAGCCTGGAAACTCTGGGGGAGTCTGGAAAGTGCAGCCTCCCCCAGGGGACCTCCGCCCACACCTGGAGGAACATATTTCTGAAAGACCTAGGAGCAGCTCCTTGCTCTAACAGCCTCCCCTCCCACCACGGCAGTCCCTTCCAAGGCCCCCTGAACCCAAAGACCTGTCAGATGGCCTCATCTAAGCAGCCTGAGACTGACAAAAATCAAGGAAACTGCAACCATTCCTGAAGGCCCTCTAGGATCTTCACCATTGGGATTACCAAAGACAAACAGCGGGCTTCAGGTCAGCAGAGCCTCAGATCAACAGAGCCTGAGTCCTAAAATCAACCAAGTCGATGGCCTCCAGGATCTAACCCTTCCATACACACACAGCTCCCACCACACCCCAGGGGACCAGGATTCTTTGCTGATTGTTTGCTTTAGGGCATTGGGCAGAACCAGAGAAACAGGAAGAAGCCTCCTGCCTGTGAGAGCTCTGTCTAGGACAGAGGCCTTAGAAGCCCAGAAGATAAGGCTGGCTATAATCACTCCCCACGAGCAGCTGCAGCCTCCGCCTGGCCTCCCAGTGAACAGCTGCCCACCAGCAAACCACAAGGGCTTGGGGGACATTGGGCTGCAGGGGCTCCAGCATCAGCCTTCCCGATCATGATTATCTCTGAAACAAAAGGGTACCTGGGCAGTGCTCCCCAGCATCCTGTCCTGCTCCTGTGCACCCCACCCTGGCTTTCTTCTTCAGTCCACTTTAACATCTCTGGGGCCTCAGCAATACCACACTGCCAACGCTCCAAAGCACAGAGCTCCCTTTTCTAAGACCAAGCTACCTGCTCCCACCTGCTGCCCAGCCTCGAGTGGCCTTGGTCTCTCCTCCCCGCTCACTGTCTTGGTTTCCTGAGAACCCCTAGTCCATGGCCTGTCCCCCGTCCCTATGACAGTCAGGGTAAGATGCTACCTGGCTTGACATGGTTCCTGGGAGACTCACCCTCCTTCCTCAGGTCCTCATCTCTAGGTGCACGCCAGACCAACACCCACCTCCCAGGGCTGCTGTGAGGATCAGATTAGATAATCCACATATAGAGCAGGGGAAGAGGGCAAGACATGGCGAGGACCTGATGGATCTATCATTTTTTCTAACTGTGAGCACTGCTGAAAACCATGAGGGCACCTCAGCAACTGGGTTGAGCCACTCCCTGCCTTAGTGACCGCCGCAGCTGAGTGCCTGGAGGGTCCCTGCACTGTCCCTGCACTTAACTCCATCTGACCCTGGCTCTGGCGCATTGGGATTACCATGGGGATCTGGGCCACACCGCCTTCTCAAGGTCCTGTGCTCCCTTTCCTGGTGTTCCTGCAGTTTGGGGAGACTCAAGCTACTCCACCTGAACTCAGGCATCTCCTCCATTCCACCCACACCTCTCTCTCCTTCCCTACTTCCCAGGGCACCTAACTGGGCTCTCCAAGACCTTGGTCTATGGCTGTCATCTTCTCAAATTCCTTCCTCAGGTGTCAAGCACCATGGCACAGTGCCAACATCCAGGAAGCTGCAGGGGTGTTTCCAACCTCCCCCGCCCTTGTCTTTCCAGGCACTGCCAATCTTTGGGACAGAGGGGTCCATTCCAAGGCATCACCATGTCACCATCCACACGATCCCCCAGACCACTCCTCTCCATTCTGACTGTCCTGAGAGGTCACCAGGGACTCCTGTCCACCAGTCCAGAGCCCACCTGCACCCTCCTGCCCTCCCTATCTGGCCGTCCTGTGGAACCCCTTGTTCCCCACTGGTATCGGAGCACGTGGCTTCCTCTAGGCCCATTCCCAGACCCGTCCTCATCGGGCTTCTCAGTGAGCTCAGCCAAAGGGCTTCACTGGGGTTCCAATCTGTACTTCCCATGGGCCATATGCCCTGGTCACAAACCCAGCCAGGGCCTGAGCATGGCTCATCCCTGCCCTCCAACCTCTCCTCCCTGTGGGGGCGTCATTCCTGCTGCTGCTGTCTCTGCAATCTTCACCCAGCGCCAGACTCTGTCTCTCCTTATGCACTATGTTCCTCTCTCGCTCTGAGGTGCTGGCTTCAAACAATTCTTGTGGAACAGATGCTCAGTCTGAAACCTTGCCTAAATACTTCCTCCTCTGTGCTCGCCCATGACGGTACCAGGTAAGACTAAAGAGAGCAAAATGTGATCTCAGCTGATATCTCCCAGTCTCCCAGGCTACCAGCCACCTGTGTCCTCCAATCCAATCAGCACATGGTGAACCAGCTGTTCCCAACCCTGCTTCCCACCTGAGCACCACCCAGCAAATACACATGCCTCCAGCTGGCCCCAAAGTGGTCCCTGGCCACAGTCCCTCCTAACAGGGTGGCATCCTTCACTGCCCAGGCACATGGGCATCAGGGCCTGGACCCCTTCTTCATCTGGACATAGGTACTAATATGGACTTTTCAGGGCTGCTGTGGACTCAGTAGAGGACTGTGTGCAGGGCACTCAGCCTATCAGAGACCTGGGAATGTTCACTGATTTACTACCATTTCCCAACTCCAAGACCCACTCAGCCTTCCAACAGAAAGCAACTGGAGCTGGCATCTTCCCAGCCCATGTGTTCTCCCCTCTCTGGGCCCCATTAGAGGAATATGGCCCACCTCCAGGGCAGGACAGGTCTCCTTTAGTCCAGCGAGGGAGCCCATGGCTGGAGGAGTGCTGCATGAGCAGCAGCACACTTCAGACAGGTGCAGGTTACACGCACTCTCGGGTCCTGACATGCCTCGCGCATAGCATGTGCTCAGTGAGTCAGCTGGGCTGAATTCAGGAGACTCTCTCTCGCATGTACAGGTTGTACTGTGCCCTGGGTTCCTGAGTTCTGAATTGCCAGAGCCTTCTCTGTAGCCCTCTCTTCACTGGGTGCAGAGAGAGCTGTCCTCAGCAGAACTTACCTCCAGGGGACGCTACAACAGGGGCCATCTTGCTCTCAAGCACCCAGCAAGGAGTATCTTGCCAGCACCTTACTTTCTAAGTACCATGGAGGAAGGTGTGTGGGCAGCTCAAACAGATCCCCTGGGCTGAGGGGGATGAGTCCTGAGTCCCTCATGCTCTCCCAGCAGGTGCACAGTGTCTACCACCAAATGTAGCCATGAGTGTCAGTGCTTCTGAGAGCGTGTGGGCAAGCCCCACGTCATACACGCTGGAAGAGAGACACAGCGGCTGCAGTACCAGGAGACTGCATTACCAGTGGGTGGGATCCAAGCTTCCAGCCAGGTGATCAGGCTGCCACGTATGTGACAGGTAAGGAAGGAACAGCTTAGCATGCGCACACTTGTGCTCTGCACACACACCCCCCCCCCCCCCCCCCCCCCCCCCCCCCCCCGCCTACACACCAGCGAGGTGAGCCTGGTGGTATCAGGAAGGTCAATAAGCAGAGAGAACTCAGACATCCAAAGTGGTGAAATGGCAAGAGGCAGGGCCCACACGAATGAAGGAATACTCACAATCCTCAGGCAAAACTTCCTTGAACTGTTCAAAGTAGGAATTTAACCGCACCAAACTCTCCACATTAATAACTTCTTGTAAAGAGGTATCACCAAACCTTGGGAGGTTAAGGGAACACCATTAGTTGGCTCATGTTACTTTTTTCAAAAACATGAAGAATTGCATGAATGTGAACACACTGATTCTTTCTAACATTCCTTGCTCACATCTAAATTCTGAGCCACTCTCCTCCTCCTGAGCATGAAGTCATCTCTATAATGCTGGTGACCAATTTAATACAGTTTGTGGGCAGGAACAGTTTTGTACCTAGGAGATTATTAGAACCTGACCTGTGCCAAACCCAAGGACTCAAAGGCCTGCTTTGTGTGATGTGGGCATAGCTGCTCAGTGCAGAGTCCTTGTGCCTTCCTGCCCCAGAAGTTAGGAGAGGGGATGGCAGTGAGGTGTGGCTGTGGAGTGAGGACAGCCCTGTACTCAGATCTGAAGTCACTCTGGGTCGGCTGTGGGACACTGTTCTCTGGGCTACCCAAGGCCCTTGCTATCTCTCCTGGTCACACAGGGTCGCCTGAGTCCACTGCATGCTGCAAGCACATTTGTGCCCAATGCCTTGGGGAAGAGGGAGGGAATGCCACGTGCAAGAAGGCAGTCATTAAGAACTGTGGGCTCTGAAGGCCGAGACCTGGCATCCCCAGCTCACCCTGCCACTTCCCTGCTGGGTCTTCCCTGAGCATCAGCCTCTTTGAGGCAGTAGGACATCTCTCTGAGGGCAGGTCTCCCTTTCATGGGTCACAGCCCACCAACCTCTCGAGCCTGTGATGGGCTCTGTTTTCTTCTCTCTACCTGCTCTCTCTGGAGTCACCCACCCCTGGGCCTGCAGACTCCCTTCTCTGTGAACTCTTTCCACAGCTCGTAAGTAAGCACGGTGGGCCAGTGCACCAGGCACAAATGAAGGAGCCAAGCCAAGACCCTGCACCTCCACCTCTTCCCTGTCCCCCGTCTCTCCTCCTCCACTTGCCCTCTGCTGCATCAGCTGGCCCTGCTTCAGCATTTCCAGAAATGGCTCAACAGTTGCTGGGTGCAGGGAACATTCCTGGACACCTGCAGCTGGGGTCCCTGTGAGAGGCCCACTCTCCCGGAGGTGGGTTCCTTTGCCTCTGTGCTCTGGCCTCAGAGGGGTCTGCTTCCTGCCCTTGCATCAGCCCAAGCCCAGCTCGCCATCTGCAGGGAACAGGATGGACACACTGCCTCTCTGACACACCAGACTGAAAACCAGCATGTCACTGGTCTGCTCGCCTCACTGTCATGCAGCTGTGTCCTTCCACTACCCCCGTTGTCCTCCAGCCAGGACCGTCTCAGAGCACCTGCATGCCACCTCTGCGGCCCTGATCCATGGTACTGCCCATGCCTGCCTCTATCCAGCAAGCTCATCACACATGTCCCTCATGTGTCCTTCTGGCCATGGCCAGCAAAATGACCCACTTGACATGTTAATCTGATTGTGTCCCCCCGACTACAAGTCCCGCAGCATTTCCCACCTGGCAGAGCACACTTGCTAAGTGGGGGTGACCCAGACCTAGGGTCCATGGACGCTGACCACTAGGTACCAAAGGGCCTTCATCCTGGAGACTGAATTCCTTTAATAGCAAGTACTTTAAGATGTCTTTTTAAGTTAAAACACTCATGTCACATGAATGCAAATGGTACATGAGCAAGATGTGCATTTACTAGTGGAAGGCCACCATATGCCACACAGGCTCACTCTTTTCCACTCCCCACACGTGCAATGCCAAGGGATTCTGGAGGAGAGTTCATAGGCATGACTCCTGGTTGGGCACAAAGGCCTTTCCCCTCACCACTGCCAGTCCCTGCCACAGACTGTGCCAGACCCCATGCTGCTTTCTCCCGGCCTTTGCTCAGCCTTCCTAGCCGGAGACAAGCTGGTCCCTCCTCCACCTCCTCACGTAACACCCACTCATATTCAAAACCCACTTCAGGGGCCAGCACTGTAGCTCAGTGGTAGAACACTTGCCTAGCACATGTAAGGCCTGGGTTTGATTCCCCAGCGCAACAAAAATGCCCACTTCAGTTAAATAAATAATGCCCACGTCAGGCACTGCCCACCTCCCCTTCTGCAGACTCTCTTAGACCACGTTGTGTGACCCGACTCAGGACCCATAACTGCCTGCATTTATCTGCATCATCATCTCGACACCTATCTCCTACTAGCCCAAATTGCTGAGAACAGAGACCATCATCATCAGGGTCATCTTAGGGGAGGTGATGACAGTGCTGGGTCAGGGCTAGTGTGAAAGCATCCTGGCTGACGGAAGGGAGGATGAGCTGGGAGCCTGCAGAGGGGCAAGTCCACATTCCACATCATCTCATGATCATTCCAGGCACTCAGGCACTCAGGAGTGTGGCACACACCTCTCAGCCAGTGTCTGCTGCTCGTTGATGCCCACATTGAAGAGGACAGGCTGCACCCGCAACAGCATGCCACTCTGGATCTCCCGAGGCAGGGCGTCAAACAGCGGACCTGGCAGAGGGATCCGCACATTAAACCCATCACTGGAAGAGAGCGGAGAGAGGAAGAGCAGGGGTGAGACCCAGGCACTGGAGGGCTGAGCAGGGACCCCAAGTATCCCCCTCGTGAGCCTGTGGGCAGCCCTCTGGCTCAGTGATGTCCAAACCCCCAGCCAGACCTTTACAGGGGAAAAATTAACATGGGATACCTTGACCAGTGCTTTTAAGACAGTGAAACAGAATAAAAATAAAACAAAGGGAGCATGCATCCCACAAAATAAACATAACTGAAAAAAAGTGCTCTGGATTGAAGAATTCTGAATAAACATTTCTACCGATTTCCTGTGATGACGGGCAGCATGTCAGTTGATGCATTAGAAGTGGCCTGTGTGACTTTAAAGGTCACATTCCTTAAGTCCATGATCCCAAGGCTCATGTCCTCCAGCATTGCCAGCTCCTCACCTAAACATGGGGTGGGGGGAGGCTGTCAGGCAGAAGGGCCTGCCTCTCTCCCCACAGACCGTGCAGAGGAGAGGTGATGAACTCAGGGGTACGGACATGGACAGGGACTCCCTAAGCCCCTTCCCCAACGACTCACTGCTCTGTGAGTCCACAGGGCAGCTGACCCCCACGCCCACATTGCAGGCACAGCTGGGAAACACACCCTTCTGTGGTCAAGCCCAGGATGGTGGAAGGGGAACAGAAGCACACAGAGCTCAGGAGGCAACGCCAGCTCAGAATGGAGAGGAACCACAGGCTGGCTTTGCTGCGGCCACAGCTTCCAGTGCACTGGGCTGGAGGCCTATTAATTGTCCTACAGTTTCAGAGACTAACAAATACCTTTAAAAAAGGGCCCATTTTCATGGCTCAGAAGACATCAAAGGAGAAGAGAGCCCCCCCAGGGTGATCTGGAAGTCAATCTTAACTCTGAACTCTCCTGCCCTTTGACCCCACTCTCCTCCTGGTGATTTAGAGGCTGCAGAACTGGGCTCTCAGTGCCTTCTGTGTCACGGGCATCAGTGCATAAAGGGCTAAGTAGAAACAATTCAGAAACAACCAAGTACTCGGAAGAAGGGCCTGGGGAGAGAACACCATCCATCCTCAACCAAAAGGATCTTCTCCACCAATAGCCAGGGACAGGGCGAGTGTGCGACTGTTCAGACTTCCACCTGGTTCCTGTTACATGTTCTGAAGGTGTCTGGTTCACTGTAATATCTGGGAAGAAAGGCTGGAACCACTGCTGCCCCGGGGCCCGCACTCACCGTAGGTGCTCAGCAGGCTCTCGAACTGCGCCAGCAGCCCGATGGTGTAGAGCTGCCGTAGGAAGCCGTCGTCGTGCAGGCAGTTCCTCAGCTTGATGATGAAGCCGCAGATGAGTGCGGTGAGCTGCGGGGCACACGGGGATCACTTGAGCCCTGGGCCAAGCTCCCGTGTTTCCACCGCAGCACCTCCTGTCCCTCGAGCCGTGGTGGGGATGCCCTGGCTCTGAGACCATAGTGGGCAGAGGCCATGGGTGGGCAGGGCATGTGACACTGGAGGCTTGCTGCACCTTTCACTCTGGAGGTGGGTTGGTTTTGGCCCAGTTTCTGACCTGACTGCCTGGGTTATTCCTGGGCTGGAAACTTCTAGAAGCCCAGAATCAGCTTCCCATGAAAGGCTCTATCTTCTCAAAGATCCACACCGACTCTAGAAACTGAGTCAGCCACAACCAAGAACAAAAGTGAAAGAAGGTGGCCCTCAGCTTCCTCAGCAGAAGGTGTCTATGGATGAAACAGGCCCTCAGCAAGGGCGGGGACCTGGAGACCCAGCCCACCCATGCTGCTGTTCTGATCTGTCAAATTAGATTACTGGCATCTTTAACTTGTGACACTAACACTTCACTGAAAGATAACAGAAATCATCAGAAACAGTTCTGCGACAAGCCAGAAGGTGCTGCTGTTTATGAGTGAGAAAACAGACTGCGCCGACAGCGAACAGTCACGCTGCCCTTGCTGCATTCCTTTGGAGGGAAAAAAGAAAAAGATGGCAAGGAGGCCTGTGCTGCCTGCCACCACCTCAGAGCAGAGCCCACTGTCACTGCCAGCCCTTCAGGAGCAACTTGCACTACGGATGGAGCAGGCGTGCTCCGTGCTGAAATCCAGTCTGTTAGACCAGCTTAGAGAACGGCAGGCGGAGAGACAGGCCATGTACGCTGGCACAGTGATGGGAGAAGAACGAGGGCCTCCTAGGCCTGTTTCTTCTGAGGTGGGAGTGCCCGTGGCCACCCGCAGGACGCTCCCAGGGCTTACGGTTTGGCAGAAGACCACGTCGCGGCGGTACTGCAGGCTCAGGTAGGAGGCGATGGTGGGGGCGCTGTCCTGCATGAGCAGGAAGACCATGGCCTTCTTAGCCTTGTCGCTCATCATGGCCACGCAGTCTGTGAGGGTGGTCAGCAGTGGGTAAAGAGCCTCGCTCCATTCACCTGGGCACGAGCGAAGGAGTTTTGATTAGAAAAAAGATCTTACAAATTAGTGTCTATAAATTAGTCGCCCAGCCCCAACCACTGATCTGTCCTCCCCTACCACCCTCAGCCCCTTCTGACCCTCTTGGCCATCCGAACTCTGACCCTCACTCCTCTGTCTTTCCAGTAACCTCAACACCAGTTCTACTTGGGTGCTGCTTTTACACGCCTGGTCTAAAACTGTTGGGGACGCCCACCTCAGCACTCAGGACTGTCCTGCTGAGGAAAACGAGAATGCCTCTGGCTCTGAGGCGGCCAGAAAACAATGCTGTTCGCAGAGGCCAAATTCCACAGCACCTCGGTTCCTCACCTGGGCCGAGAAAGACACCCAGAGAGGGAATCTGTATCTCACATCTCTTGACCACTGTAGAGACAGTACCCCTGTCCTTCTGGAGCAAAGAACCAATTCTGTGACACTCGGCTGTGTGTGTAACTGCTCAATTCTCGCCTTCTACTCTCTTCCCGCGTCCCCTGCTTTTGTACTCAATTTCTTCCCTGCTCCCCACCTCCCTGCCCGGTACCAACTTTTTCTAGATTAGTTTTCTTTCAGAAATATAAGGAAACTTTGACCCTGGACTGGAACAACTTTTTAAAAATAGAACCTCAAGGGAGAAATCAGGGCTCGGGGCATCTTTGGCTTTCTTCCTTCCTTCCTGTTTAGAAGGCATTTGAAAGAGAAGACATGCCCTCATCAGTTATATTTTTAACAGATCACTGAGTCCAGAAATAGTCATGTGCTCATCCCCACTTGGTGAGCCCAGTGCACAAAACATGGCTCAAGGCCCTGGAAGCACCCACCCTTTCAGGCTGAGGCCCCAGGCTGTCACCATGATGCAGAGGGCCATTCTACCTTTGATAAACAGACTTTAGAAGGCAGAGGGAGTGGGATATGGCTGTACTCTCCCAAACTGTCTGACTAGCACTCTGTTGAGAAACTTAGAGATAACACCTGGAATGTGCACAGGAACTTGCCTACATTCCATGTTTGGTTAATGTGGATTAAATGCATATTAACTGCTCAAAGGTTGGGAACTAACTGGATGCAGGCATGTTGTATGTTGACAAGGATTTATAACCGTAATGGAAACAAAGCAGACTTAAATTTAGAAATCAGCAGCAGAAAGGTCTCAGCAAATAAGTCACGGTGACAAAGAACATTGGACTGAGAAGTGGAAAATGTGAGTCGCGGGCCAGGCCTGGGCCAAGCAGTGGTGTGGCAGCAAGGCCTCCATCCTGGAGCCGCGGGAGCCTCTTCAGTAACACACCAGCAGTGCTAGAGAATGTCTAAATCTTTCTCCCTCTAGGATTCTCAGACACCAAGTTTTTGTTTCTTTGAAGAACTCTGTTGAACACATGACAACCATACCCAGGACCTAGCAAAAATAACCAATAGAAATCAGGTTTTACTAGCCAAAAAGTTTGAGGAAATCTAGGTAGTCACAAAAATTATTTTTCACTAAGAAATAAATATGCTCAGAGCAAATGTTGCCAATTTTGTTTTTCCCATTATCATACATATATAAGTAATATGCAAATATGATTATTTTAACCTGAAAATATTCAGAAAATACAAGTGGTCTTAATTGACTTCAGATATAAGGGGCTCTTTCAAGTCCACACTCTGCTTTTGCACTTTTTGCTCATTGGGAGGTTCAGCAGGCGTGTTTCTACCCAGATCAAATACAGCTCTCCAGGGACTCCGGCAGGGGACCATGTTGTCCATTTAACATCCACTGTGAGAAGGCACTCGTGCCTCTGGAAACAACATGGCTGGCATGACCCAAGAGTCCTCGAGCCAGGCGCTGTCTGTGTGCTGAGTTCCTTTCAGGTCGATCAACTTCAGGAAGCCTGGTGTGGAGAGGAGTCTCTGAGTCTCTGGCAGGTTTACATGCCACCCGCTTTCCTGGTCCTCACTGCTCAGGGTGGCCCCGGGACTTTATCCTTGAGGCTCAGAGGAGTGGGCTCAGTGTAAAGACACCAGCCTTCTGCCTGCTGTGAAGGCTGGCTGAGGACAGAAACCCAGAGACAGAAATAAAGGAGGAGGACGAGGCCTGGGCCCAGGAGAAGCAATGGAAAGAAGGATCAGAGTGGACTGTGTCATCTACCAAGGCTCAGTTGCTATGATGGACGGCATGGGGTCTAACACCTGCTCAAGAATACACAGACTTTTGGGAAAGAGAAGCTGTGAAGGGGCTGAAAATAACTGCATTGTGCCCAATCAATTAGTCCACTGAAGAACAACTTCATATGGGGTTCTGGGTTGCTAATAAGGAGTCACTTATTCACACTGAACTTATTCAGGGTGCTGTGTGAACAGACAGTGAGTGACAGGAAAGGCTCAGTAAAGCTCATCATCATCAGTGTACCGTACTCTAGGGATAAAGTAAGTATTCTTCCATCTGACATTCACATCCAGTGAAGAATATTCAATTATCAGACTGTAGCTTATTTATGAAGTATAAGAAACAAATAATTTATTTGGGGGCTCATGCACACTCTGGGAAAACCATAAGCCATATCCAGGAATCTCAATATGAACTAGATCAGGGGTCGGCACACCTTTCCTGTAAGGGTTGGACAATAAATATTTTAGGCTCTAAAGGACTCAGGGTCTCTGTGGCAAGTAACTCAGCTCTGGCATTGCCACACAAAGACAGCCAATGATAGTGTGTGGGCATGAGTCTTTTCCAGTAAAGCATTATTTATAAGAGCAGGTTGTAGACAGGATTTAGCTCAGAGTTCTAAACTCCTGGACTAGTCTGCCGACTCCTGGACTAAAGCCATAGCACTGCATTTTACATGCAAATACAGCAAAGATTCCATTTCTAGCGCTAATCCCAACAGAGGCCCATAGCTAGGTCTTAATAAGATTGGTTTAAAGCTATCTCCAGGATGCAGAGTGGTTACGAATGTTGCAACTTTCAGGTGAATACATATTAACTACGTCTTCAGAGTCAAGCTCACAAGTCAGGTGAGCACACAGGAAGTATGAGTAATAGGTGTGTAACAAGCCAGGTCACCCACTTCAGAAGCTTCAATACTCATAGCATTAATCATCTGCAAAGGTTTTAAGATGTAAAAGTTAAAAAAAAAAATGCATGTAGTAGCCTTCCTGAGGCCATAATTCCCTTAGCCCAACCAGTCCCTCACCAATCTTCACAACCAAGAACTACTGAAACATTTTCCCAACTACAGGAGCATAAAGTAGTCTTTGATCACTTAGCCACAAATGCTACCTGAATGTTAAAAAGACATCGGCAGGAGCCTCGAGTGGAAAGCACGTACCTGGGCTGGACTCTTCAGGAGGGGGGCTGCAATCTGCACAGAAATGGAGGGCGACAGGGATGATTAAGGAACGGCACACAGTTCAAACACAAGCAGCTCAATCTTAGAGCAGCTGCATCAGCAGCTTGCAGTAAGGCAGTTAAGGCATAGGAGAAGAGGTCTGGGGCCCGTGCCTCTTCTCTGGAGCCTCGGGCAGGTCACCGCTGCTCCGAGCCCTCTCTAGTGGTGAGCACATGGTTCACCAGCACCAACACTCAGGTGGCTAATACATCAACACCAAATGCTCTTCAGGATGGGTGGACCAACAATTATACTGTGAAACACATGCCACAGAACAATGCACCCACATCAATGACACGGTAGTGATGGAGCCCCACGTTAGCTCACAACATCAAATGAGAGAGACTGACCAGCAAATGGAGCTTTCCTGAGTTGGAGCCCACTGCCCTGACTTACTGGGCAAGCCTGTGTTCAAGATCAACTTCTGCAATCTAAAACATTAAGACCCAGGAATGAAGCCAATGTACCAAAAAGAGCCCTAGGCCAGGCTTTCAGATTTCAACTACAGGGAAAAACTGGGCCATCTGAGCAAGTGGCTGATTAAGAGATTCTCCAGGTTTCCAAAGAATACAAATTTTCATTCCATTTCACCCACTGAATCACACTGGGATGCATTCATTTCAATTCACATTTCCCATAAAGCCCCTAACATTCCTGGTTAACTGGGTGTGCCATCTGAGGGGAAAAAAGTTTGAAAAGGTATTACAGGAGTAAAACTTCATTTAATTTTGTGTCAGAACATGTCAATCAAAGGATGTTCTCAGGATATTAAAATGAGGCAGCTTCAGATTCCCCAAACCAGCCAAAACCAGCTTCTGGGACACTTCTACAACCTGCTGCCAAGTATCCTTCCCCGCCAATCAACTTTGGACATAGCTTCTTAAACTTCTTAAAAGGGACAGAAGATATATATATATATATATATATATATATATATATATATATATATATATATATATATTAAAAAAGGACAATGAAGGACCCAGGATGGGCAGAAAACTGGAATGAGCAGTAACAAAGCCTTTCCAAGGGGCAGAGTTGTTCTCCTACAGTCAATCTGTTGGCATGAACACGACCTGCTCAATGGGCCAAAATGACCACCCCTGTGATTGGAAATGCTGTGAAAAGTCATGACAGCCATGCTCTGGCACTGGGGACTCATGGATCTATTCACCAAATACATGGCTCATGGTCTCATTCTTCCTTGGCCTCCTGACCACACTGGGGTCTGAACAACTTCCTGGCTACACTGAAGGTTTCTAAGTTCAGGACTACCCATCACATGGCTTCCTACACTCTGAGTGCTGATCAGCAGAGTGAGGCTCTCTCAGGTGCATGCTTCACAACAGAGCTGATGCTGATGGCACAATGACAATCAAGACCTGAACAGTGCACAGATGTTCACTTAAATCACTTTAGAACTGAATTTAAATGCGTTTAAACTATATCAGATGTGCCTAGAAAAAAGTGATATTTATATTATGGATATACAGCATCTTTTTTAAAAAATATTGTTTTAGTACACATGGACACAATATCTTTATTTTGTTTATTTTTTTTAATGTGGTGCAGAGGGTGGAACCCAGTGTGTCTCACATGTGTGAGGCAAGTGCTCTGCCACTGAGCCACAACCCCAGCCCTACAGCATCTTATTAAACAAACTAGCTCCTGATTTTTTAAAAAATCCAACAAATTACTCTTTTTATATCTGCAGAAAATTTTAAAATTCAAACAAGATTTTGTGTGTGTGTGTGTGTGTGTGTGTGTGTGTGTGTGTGTTGCTGGGGGATTGAACCCAGGATCTCACGCATGCTAAGCAAGCACTCTACCACTGAGCTACATCCCTAGCTACTACAAACAAGATAATATTAAAGAGAAGTAATAAACTTTCATAAAATTTTAAAGAGAAACACAATTCACATTTTTAAAAAACCAACAATAAAACAAGACCACAATAGAGACAAATGAACGCCATGACTCAATCACAGGTGTAGGAGGTTGAGGCCACAGTCCCTCATAGATGGAAAAGTGAGTGACACAGATACTGTTTAACCAGAGGCCCAACAGGACAGTGCTCTGGAAACAGACTGCAGGTGGATTAAAGAGGCAAGAGCATTGTATACAGAAGAATCTATCAAAAGATGATTCTGCTTTGAATGGAAGGTGTCCAGTTGAGATTAAAGCTCTCATCCCAGGAAGCATAACCCTGGCATGTTTTGGCCTGATTCACGCAGCCTAATGCTCCCCTCGGAGAGCAAGCTGGGTCTACAGCCAGTTCCTAGCTGCCTGGCCTCAAATCCTCTCCAGCTCTTACAAGAAAGGGTGGAAGACACCTGGGAGGCAGAAAGCATGTGGTCCTTAGCTTTAATGACCTCCTTGGGGCAGAGGGCCTGGACATGCTCCGTGTGTCTGCTTTGAGGTGTACTGTCCCACATCTACTGAAGGTCCCCCTTGGAGGGTTGTGCTGAACAGGTAAACCTAACTCAGCCCCTCAGAGGCCCACAAATGGGGAACTGCCATCTGACTGAGCTACAGGTCCCCAGGAAACGGGCCTCTGCTGGTAAGAGTGCCTACCTAAGAACAGCAGCCTTTGGGCCTAGCTCACCCAGCAGTGACCCTGTAATATTCACCTTTCCCTCTGCTCTACTGGCTCCTAAAATGCAATAAACATCATATCAGGAAGGCATTCGCACCTCAGCTTCCTTCAACTTCTCAGGCTGGTTGACAAGCCTGAAAAGCCAGGGAGGCCTAAGCTTACCGTCTGGCAGTGTGACCCAGAAGGGCATGAGAGTCTGCCTTTGACAGATACGCAGACTCACAAGTGGGCTTCTGCTGCATGGAAGGGCCAAAGGGGCCTCTACCCTTCTGCCTGCTGCTTTGTGCACTGGGATGGCCCCTCTGCCTGACAGCCCTCCCTGCAGTCTGCCTGGGGTGGAAACAGAGTCAAAGACACAGACAACAGAATGATGTGGCATGAGGAGGTGGTGTGGGAAGCGTGGATGCATACGCACGTGTGCTCGGGTGAGGATGGCATGCAGCAGTGGGCATGGAGCAGGGGCATGGCGAGCAGGGGGCGTCACAGTGGGGGTCCTCCGGTCTGATCCAGTAGGCATGGCTGTCCCTGTTACCTTTCTTGCTGGTGCAGCTGCCTGCGCAGGGGAGGGCGTCCTCACAGCCTGTGCCATGCAGACGCTCCTTCTGCAGCAGCTTGTCCACCCGCTGGATGATGCACTCCAGGCTCTTGTCCACGTTCAGCCACACTTTCTCCTTAAGAACCAAGAGGGCCGGTTAGGGTCAGCTCTCCCACTCACCCAGGTGCCCAGGCCACCATGTGCATTGGAACATCAACAGCTGAGAAATGGCAAGGTGACTGACTACTCATTCCCCATGCCTTATCTGCCTTCCAGAGACAGCAATGTCCTATGAGCACTGTGTTGGAAGTTTGAGAGATGATGCTGGTAAATCTATGTAGCACTGCTTTCCAGTGTCACCAGAGGGTCACAGGGTCACAAAAGAGCTAATCTCTTCCCTCCTCCTTCTACAGCAGGCTCCTACAACCACCAGGCACAGAGGACTAAGGTCTACTTCTGATGGAAGGGGATGGAGACAGCTGGTCCTGGGGACAGGGAGCTGGGGAGGAGACAGAGGGCTGGGGCAGTTTGCAGAAGACACACAGAGCACAGGATGCTGGTGTAGAGGACCACAGTGCTGCTTAGTAATAATTCAGTGCTTCACAAAGCAATGCTTCAAATGACGACGATGCTGAACAATGTATCCCTCCCTCAGGAGACACAGACCCTGCTCTCAGGGCCAACTCTTGAGGAACAGCAATGTGACACAACATGTGGGCAGCAGCTCCAGCACCTGAGTTCCCATGTCTCCAAAAATACAGAAGAGGAATGGATGGGCAGAGATTGAAGAAGCTTGGTCGGTCTCAGGCAGCCAGCATCAGAGGCTGCAGTGGGCAGGGAGGGCAGGAAGACGAGAGAAGGCAGGGGCTCAGGGAGAAAACCTATCTCCGCACCAACCTGGGCGGAGACTGGTCCAGCACCCAAAAGAGTCCTGCTGCCCATATGCACACAATGGTTTGAAAATAGTCTCTCTCTCTCTCCGTCAGGTGACCCAAGAGCCATGTGAAAGACACCCTAGAGTTGACCCTCTAGGCACAGTAGAGGGGAAGAGACTGGCAACAGGTTCCATAGGTTGCAATCCAAGTTCAGAGGCAGGAAAACAGGCTGTAAACAGCAGACTCACCCATTCCTCCTCGTGCCAGTCCACCTGCAGGGAAGATCTGCTGTTCCTCCCTGTCCACCTGGCCATGAGAGTGTCCTGGTCATTCCGAAGCATCACCTGCTCCTCCTCTGTCGAGGTGGGGGAAGCCTTGGAGGCGATATAGTCAGGCCGTGCAGCGTTCAGGCCATGGATCGCATTGGCCAGCAGCTTGCAGTCACAGACTGTGACCAGCTGCCGGGTCTGCAGGTACACAAGAGCAGAGCTGTGAGGCCTGCCTTCTCATGGAGGAGAGGATGGGCTACGGCCTAGCCTCTGCTCTCTCCACAGTGCCAAGCATCTAGAGAGCTGCCTCCCCCAGAACGTTTGAGTGCAAAGGTCACAAACGACTCAGCAGAGCCAAATCTCAGCAAGAACTTCCCATCAAGGACGGAGAACACAAGGCAGATGAGAGGAGACTGACATGTCTTCTCAGACATGCTCTGACCTGTCTCTGAACCTGCCTGTGAGGGGAAGGGCCTTCCAAGAGCCCAGTATCCCAGCTGACTTCCTGGGTTGCTCCTCTAGGGAGCAAGTCCTCAGAGCTCAGGCATTACTTTGGTTCAACCACTTGAGACTTTTTGCTTTGCCTCTCAACATATAAACCCAAGGTCCTGGGCTCGGGCAGCTGGACTATGGCACAGAATTTCTGGTTTTGGAAAATTCTGTACGCAACGGGGATTCTGTGGTTCATAGAAATTTTAGAGCCAGGACTACACTTTTCTTTTCCAATGGATCTAATCATCTTTTTTGCTGTGTGGACACATGAAGAATATAACACATCATCATCAGACAGCAGCTTGCTTGCAGCAAAGCAAGTGTGGGTGAGAATGTGTAATCAGAATGTACACGTGTGTGTGCGCACACATGTGTTGAGAGGCTGATGAAATCAAAAAGCATCATCCATCAAGGGCTGGGGCTCAGTGGTAGAGTGCTCACCTAGCATGTGCGAGGCCCTGGGTTGGATTCTCAGCACTAGGTATAAATAAATAAAATAAAGCTCCATTGACAACTAAAAAAAATATTTTAAAAAAAGCAACATCCATCAAAAGGGTCTGATATCTCCACTCCTTTGCATGGGACCAACATTTACATATTTTGTAATCAGGATCCAGTTATGGTTAATTAGAATGGGCTTACTGGCTACATATAAGCCAAGAGAATCACGTTGTTCTTTTCTTATGTCTGTATATTAGCTTGGTTTCTTTTTAGAAATTTAAGTACAATAGAAATGTGTCTAAAAAAAATGCTGATAAGGCAGTCACTAAGAAAGCTGTGGACAGCATCAGCCCCAATAAAATGAGCCCATGGACTTGCTGGGAGACACAGCAGCACAAAGCAGCACCCAAGAGTTGCAGGCCCTGGGCTGGCTCTGCCTTTGGCCAGTCCAGCTCTGCGGCCATGAGCAAATCACCAAACCTCCCTAGTCTAAAGACAGGTCATCCAAAAGTCACTGTCTTTGTGGCACATCTGGGCCATCCTGGGGAGTTCACTGGCTTCCAGAAACCCAAAGACACCCCCCTCCGTAAACACACACATACAACAAGGCAGCCCCTCCTACCTTGTCTGCCAAGATGGCAAGTGTCCTCTCAAGGCCAGTGGCAGACCTGTCCTTGGCCGCCCTTGAGAGCCGCTCTGCATAGTAACTAACTTGGGTTTTCAGGGTGTTGATCTGGGCAATGATCTCCTTGGCTCTGACGACATCCTGTGGTATGTAGATTATGGACTGGCAGCTAGATGATGTACTAGAAAGGACAAGAACAGATCCTAAGGGGTTCTCTTGAGTCTGAGGAGCATGGCAACAGCATCCTAACCCTGGCCCACAGCTCGCCCTAAAATAAGGAAGTCTTGTTACTCAGGGGTATCTTCCTGTGCTAGATTAGCTGCTGATGGGCAAAAGGAGATTTTGGCAGGTCCTTTACATCTATGTGTTCAAAGCCTAACATATTAAAATAGGATGTCTTTTACCTGCATTTGTACCTGTCTGTGTTTCTGCCATGTTATATGTATATGTGTGTACAAACATTGAAATGTCATACCCAGTGATCACCCAAACAATCAGAATCTTTACCTAAGAACTTCGTCCATCAACTTATAAGCAGTTCTTAAGTAGAGACCTGGGGTCCCCCTTATGCCAGAATGGGTCAAATTATCACACTGAAGGGAAAGACCACAATTGGCGGTGGACTTTGCCAAAGAAAATAAAACAATAACAACAACAAAAGCCCCAAACCTGCTTTTTCATTTGGCCAATCAGGATGTCTAACTTTTTTTGAGCAGAACCACAGTTCTCCTCCCTCACATCTGACCCTGGTGAATCGCGAGAAAATTGGGCTTCCTTTCCCTCTTCCCTGCTCCAGGATGACCTTACTTTGAAAAATAACAATCCATCAGAGAAAGAGAAAGTGGAGAATGTGCCAAGCCAGAGGCCAGGCCCAACACCTCAGTGGCTTTGAAAACCTGGTTCTTCTTCCTTCCCACCTCCTCACCCACTACGCAGCATGTCAGTCTGGGGATCTGATGTCAAAGGGACAGCCCCGTTGCTGCTCAGCAGAACCAGGAGCCTCTGAGGGACCAACTCCACACTCCCTGGAGCCCGGGGCTGGGTCAGTATGTTTGGAATACCTAGGTGTCAAGGATGATTCCATGTCTCTTAGCTCAGATCCCAACCAATCCAATGTGATAAGTTTTTCAGACCACCTGGGAAGGCCAAGGAAAGTGAGGAGTAATACAAGTAGCCAATATGGAAGTCTCCTAAAATCTGAAGTTGCAAACTCTGGGTGCAATGGTATCCCTTCCCTCCTGGAAAGAGGGACCTGACTGACTGACCCTTCAAGTTCTGAGGGACTAGTTCTCTCTTTTGAGTTCTGGGAACAAGGGAAATAGGAGAGGACAGAGGGTACCACACCCTCCCTCATATCCTGGAGATGAGGGATACTGGGGTCTTTTCCAGGGAAAACCAAAAGTGATCATCAAGAAACTGCGGCTGCCCCTTCTCTTGCTGGACTATGGAGGTGAACATGCAAGCACTACAAACCAGAGCACCCCAGAAAGAACACCACCACCACAAGCCCACACACCACAACGAAGAACGATGGATGTGCCAGAAGCCCATGCAGCAGACGGTGACCCAGCCTGTGTGGCACAAGCCATTCCACAGCGCCGCGTGCAGAGACCACCTTCCAATCTGCAATCACTCTTCCAAATGAATAGCTGCCATTTAAGACAATTTGGTCTTGAAAATACGTATCTCAAAATAGAACTTTTAAAAAATTGATGCTTCCCAGGCCCTCAATATTCAGAGTCCACATGTAGTAAGAACTTTACATAGATATACCTTTGTGTGTGTAAGTGGGTGGCTGGGTGCACACACCATCCCAAGGCTGGGAGGAAAACCTCACTTGTACTCACCTGGGCTCCTAAATAGCAGCCCTGGGACTGATGCACAGGAAATACATGGTAAGTATGAGAAGGGGAACAATTCACAGAGCTGCTGTTCAGGTTCTCAGGAATACATAAACACACGTGCCCCATTACCTAGTTCTAAAAGCAGGCGGCCACATGAAAGGAGGCCTGGGGTGCAGATGTTTTGCTGCTTTGTGTGACACGTGCCTTAACAGGGAGTCTTAACTCAAAGGAAGTGACCCGTCTGTTCTGTTAACTACCCTGGGGTCCCAGAGTGTCCTGGGGCAGCCCCAGTAGGTAACATCCTAGGTATGGTCCATGGGCCACACATTAGGCCCCCAGCCGTAAGCCACTGACTCAGACCTACCCAGAGAGGGGTTAGGGACTAAAAAGAAGATGCCAAAGGAACTTAAGGGTGGACTGTTCTGGTAGGGGCCAGAACTGGCTGGTATGGATGAGTGACAGTCCCTCTGAACATGAAGAGCAAGGCTGTCCCTGTGGAGACTGAACTCCTGAACCCTGCTCATAGTAGACAGTGGGAGGCTGGGTAGTCTCTGACTGAATTTAGTCAGAAATGCTCCCTACTTGTCTCAGGAATGTCCTGTTTGTAGGGAAAAAGAAGGTGGAGAGGTGGGAGTAACCAGGACCAAGTTGGGCTATGGAAGGTCTAGTCTCCTCAGTTAAGAGGGAAGGACTAAAGAACTTTCCAGATAACTTCAGTTGGGACTTCCAAAGGGCAACTGAGTTTTTGGCCCACTTTCCCAGCCCTCAGACCTAACCCTGATGTTCCTACCCTCTACCTGTACTGTAGAAAAGGGTGAGCCTTCGATGAGGCTGAGGCCCTGGCAGAGAAGGGAAGAGCAGAAGCTACCCTCCCCAAGAGCCCTCCACCCTCCCTCAGTACCCTTGGGAGAAGGGCCTTCCTCAGGGGAAAGCTGGAGAGGCTTCAGTGTGGTGTGGGGTGTCCCTAGGACTTCCTACTGTCAGATGCTCCTAGCAGAGCCCCGAAACCTCAGGCAGGGTCCAGATGTGGCCCAGAGCCTCACAGATCATCTGCTCCAAAGGGGCAGGTGCTCCAGATAGAGCACCAGTGCAAAGGCCCTGTTCCTGTCTGGGATTGAGGCTGTGGAGGAGAACCCTAGGTGTACACTTGGTGGCTTCTGGCTGCCATCTAGTTCTCTAGTGGAAAGAGTCACTGGGTCATAGGTCTGCCCCCTCAAGGGGTAAAACTGACCCAAGTAAGATCCTTTTAAAAGTCTGCACAAATTAATAAGTATCATGGAAATGTAAGCTGGATTCATTTGTACAAGAGGTGGGGATGATATGAAAACTGAAAAGATTCTTGTAAAAGATGGAAAGGGGTTCCCAGCCATACCCATGGGTCTGGGATCTTCCTCATCCTGGGAGACAAAAACCAGGCCCTGTCTCAGAATGAGGGCAGCACAGGTTTGCTGCCAGGTTGGAAAGGTGAACAGTTCCCTGCAGACTGGCTATTCATCATCAAAGCTCATTGCAGTTGGAAGGGAGAGCTCCTCTACAAGGGTGTGAGTTAACTGCAGCCCAGATGGCACTAAGGGGTGAAGCAGTGCCCTGGCCAGGGCAGGGGACAGCACAGGCTTTCTCTGCATGAAAGCAAGACCCAAAMAGACACTCTCTCCACGACAGAAAACTCACCAACACTCCTCAAAACTGCTAAAGAAAAGAACCAAAATGAAATATTAGCGATTTGTTAGAAAATACCAAATGCCAAATAAAAAATTAAAAAGCCAAGTTAATTTTTTTGTCAAAATACTTAAAATTATTTGTTGAGGCCCCAACTACAGGGACGATAAACTTGTGAGCCCACCATGCTTATTCCTTGAAGCAACTCAAGCCCAGGAGACAGCCCGCTGGGAGCACGGTTGGCCTGCATTAAAGGAAAAGCTCAAACAACAAAAACCCTGCCTACAAGTGACTTTATGACACTGGTAGGAAATTAGATAGACACTTGTGTTATATATTTGAAAACCCCTGCAGAGCACTTTAGGAAATAAAGTCTGAAGTGAACATGCAGAGTAATCAAGTGTCAACACTTTGACCCTCCTGGGACAGGGATAGCCAGGTAGCCCCCTCTTGACTAGCCACACAGATAATTGGGCGCTCTCCTTCAGGGCCCCGCGCCATCTCAGCTCGCACGCACACGCTCCAATGGCACATGCAATAGTGCAATAGACACGCTTTCTTGCTGGCTATGCAGAGCTGCGGTGGGCACAGAAGTGTCGTCTTCTTCCTGCTCTCCAAAGGAACACTGGGGACAGTGAATGCTGGGGCAGGTCTGGTCATCTGGTTTGTTTGCAAAAAGAAGAGCCCTTCGTGGGGATGAGTCAAAGTCAAGGAGGCTGTGTGGGGCTTCCCAGAGAATGCTGGGCCCCTTGTGCTAGGAAATTAGACAGACACTTGTGTTATATATTTGAAAACCCCTGCAGAGCACTTGAGGAAATAAAGTCTGAAGTGAACATGCAGAGTAATCAAGTGTCAACACTTTGACCCTCCTGGGACAGGGATAGCCAGGCCTTCCTGGCTTCTCCTTCTACTATCTCCAAGACCACTCTGCTCCTGGCGGGCCTCAGGCACCTGTGTGTCTGTCTACACGGGGAGTCCTCCCTGTGCACTCTCTTCAGCTTGCTGCTCAGCCAACCAGGCTCATCCACCTCGGTGACACTCAACAGATGTCTCCTGACACCTTTGGTCACTGGCCTAAACTTCTCCACCCCATCTAGACGATGGTCAATTTTCCCAAGCAGTGTTGTGACTCCTGGCCATGGCAGCAGTTGAGCAACAGCCTAATAGCTCTGGTGTGTGCATAAGCTCTTCTCCCTGTCTTCCCCTGGCCAACTGATGGGACTCTCTGGATGTTCCCTGGGCCTACGTTTCACTTGGCCTCAAACTATCTTAACTGATTACACTCAGACCTTTCAATATCACAAGCACAGGTTTCCCCCAATACTTCATTTCATTCCTCCCACCTCAAAATCCTCTCTGCAACCCCATCCACTCTTCCTGACCCTGCTGGGCTGAACTATATGGTCTGCCTCTTCATCTTCTTCAGAAGCCACTCTGTCAGCATTCTCTTCTGTTCCACCTCATTCAGGTGTATCTGCCCTATTGGCCTAACCACATGCTCAAGTCATAATTATTCTCCCCACCTGAGAACTTTGTGCTACTTCCTCATTCCGCAGTCTGTCAAAGATCTCACAAGATTATTTCTATTCAGCATCTCCACTTTTTACACTTGTACCCTTCAATCCATTTACTCCTGGAGACATTATAGATGATCACTGAGAAATGCCCCTCAGTGTCTAACACGACACCTGGGATTAGGGCTCTCCCCAACCCAGGGTGGATTGCTGCCCCCCCACCCCCGTGTTTCCTACACCCTCTGTGGGCCTGCTCCAGGTATGATTCACTGAAATGGTGCTCGCTGAATTGTCTGCTCCTGGGAAAGCCCCTGAGCTCGACATGGTCAGGCCCAAATCTGCTAAGCTCTGGTCACCAGTGTTAGCTCAGTCTACTGAAGGCTGGCAGCAAGGCCAGCTCTCTGCCTCAGCTCCTCTTCCCCTGCTACATAGGCTGCGTCCACCATGTCCTTGTCTGAAATGCTTTTCCCCATCCTGACTGCCTGGCAATTTCCTACTCAAGACAGTAGCTTCATGAGACCCCTGGATCTTTTCAATACTGGGAATGTTCACCCAGGCTCTCCTTCAGGAAAGGAAACAATGTGCCTCAGACTTTATACTTCTGTGTTCAAGTACCTGGCGTGGGACTCCAAAGGAAGCCGAGTCAGCAGACAGTGCACACAGGCTGCTGCCTGAAGCATCACTCAAAGGTGGATCACAGAATGCTGTTCACTTTGAAGGTCTGGGACCACCAATGTGGGGCCATCACCCACCAGCTCAGTCTCAGTGTGTGTCTGTCTGTCTGTCTGTCTGTCTGTCTCTCTCTCTCTCTCTCTCACACACACACACACACACACACACACACACACACACACACAGCAGCATAGGTCCTGCCACGCAAAAGCAGATTCAATGGCTGGATGTTTGTGATTGTATTTAGATTATTATTTTTTTAAAAACTGAGAAGCGTCATACAGCTGTACAAGAACCACAAACCCCTTCCTTCTACTTACTGTTTCTTGGTCTCTTCAAATTTGTGCAGCTTTTTGCGGAGACCTCCTGATTTAAAACCTTGGCAGTGTGCTGCTGGTGCTCCAATGGTGACAATGTCGTAGTTCTGATCTGAATGACAGAAAGCTCACCTCTGTTACTCAGGCTCAGGCCTGTGGACAGCCAGCTACAGAGAGAGGCACACCATCTAGGATGCTGCCCCTGCAACCTTGGTTGCCTTGATTCCACAGCCTGGGGCTTGGGGGGCCTGCAGGAGCACTGCTCCTCTGTCTCCGCAAAAGGGCTTCTCTGCTTCGGGTGGGCCACGTGGGGCTGCAGGAAGCTAGCGCAACACTCTTTCTCCCCCTTCCTGGGAAAGGGTGAATGGCGGGCAACTTTCTGCCATGGGAGCACAAAAGGAAGCTGGAGGGAGGAGAGACAGGAGCAAAGGCTCTTGAACTGGGACCTTCCCAAGGTCCTAGGGAGGTGTTTCTTCTTGGAGTCACCCAGCAGTAGAGCACACAGGGAAACTAGGACAGATGTGGGGTAGCCCAGGGACCAAGTATTCAGGGGGGAAAAAAAAAAGAAATGTAATGTGGTTCAAAAAGAGGGGCCAAAAAGTAGGTACCTGATCCGCCATCGTCTTGAACTCTCATCCTTTGTATATGCAGGTTTGTGGGAACAAATTCTAACTTTTTATCTGCTTTCAAACTGCTTGCTTTAAATGAGGGACCTAAAAAATGGAATATGAGAAAATGAAGTCACCAGCAGATCATGAAGAGCACACTGCTGCTGCTGCAGGAAGGCAGGCATATACTGACTGACTTAGAAAACTCTGAGTTGCACACAAGCAAGTTTCGTCTCCAGGTGGTAGGTTGGAGGGCAGCTCACCAACCAGGAGAAACAGCTTCAGAAAGCTACAGGAGTAAGGAGGCCATGCCTTCCACGAATCAGCCTGCAATTCAGAGATCTGAGTCTGTGCCGCACACTGTCAACAACTCCAGGTAAGGCAATGGGTCCGTGCCAGAGACCACCTGTCTCAACCCTAGAGACTGTCCCAGCCCAAGATTTTAGAACAACTGGTTTGGCTAGAGTAACACATCTCAATCCTAAAAAGTGATGGCAAGGTCTGCTCGTCCCCCCAGGTCCACAGGAGAGCAACAGAGCACAACTGCAGCCTCAGGGGCACACAGCTCACCAGCAACCTGTGTGCCAGGCTCGTTAGGAAGCCTGGTTGATGTTTTATAACCACTCTCCACAATCTTATTTCTCTGATCAGAATCTAGAATCCGTAACTAAGAACCTCATGCCTACCAAACGAAGGGTTGACAACTGAAATGATAATCAGAAGAAAAGAAATAAATAACCCATCTAGTGAAAAACCATGAATTGTACTGACAGCCTGAGATGGCAGCCCAGCAGCTGTGTGGTTTGCATTCTGTCACAGGAGTTTACTCCCTAGAGTCTGATACTCATGCTGAGCCTCTGGGCCAGCAGCCTGGGTGTCCTGGGACCTAAGAGAAATGTAGAACCCAGACCTGATTTTTAACAAGATTCTCAAAGTATCTGGAAGCCACTGACATTTGAGCAGCTCTCTACTCTAGAAAACCCGAGGCTATGTGGACTCCACTTTCCTGGGTAACACTCATCGAGCATGGGTAAGTGCCTCGGTTTCCTCAGCAAATGCTGCCACTTCTCAGTGATACACTTAGACTTGCTCTTCGGGCTCAGATCCAGCCTATGCACCACCATCTTATAAGACCTCGGTTTGGCTTTTTTCCACCCAAAGTTGTGGACAGGTTCACATGTTCTTTGCCAAAACTACATGAAGGGCTTACGATTTTTTCCTTTAACCCTAAAATATTATGTAGAGAGGAAGAAGGGAAGAATATAAAGATAGAATAATTTGAAGCAATAAATCGTTAAAAAACAACAAAAAAAATTGTTTCCAGTCAGAATAAAAGGGAAATGAGTTAAGAACTGCTTTCTAAGTATTTTGAAAATCAAATGGCATCTTTAAAGAATAAAGGGTGTAATGTGGGCTGGGGAGGTAGCTCAGGGGAGTGCTTGCCTAGCATGCCTGAGGCCCTGGGTTCAATCCCCAGCACTGCCAGAAAAAAAGAAAAAGAAAGGAAAAGGCAAGATGTTTGCACTTAGCTTTCTTCTTTGAGTCTTTTGACAATTGCTATGTTCAATGAATATTTAAACAAGAAAATCTACAAAACTGCTTTGCCTCAAAGCAAATAGCCTATATCCTTTTGGTCGCTTCAATGATATTAGATGAAGAAACTACATGAACCAATAACAGCTTGTAATCTTATCTCCCCTAAACTTCATCCTACAGTGGTTGTGTTGGCAGATAAGAGCAGAGAAGGACTTTTCCGTGCAATTCACATTTGTTATTTTAATTAACATCTGAAAAAAAAACCATATGTGAAAGAATTCACACCTACATGAAAATCTATTTTTAAAAACCCACTCAAGAGTGTCAGTGAGTATGTGAGCCACCTGGGTTCCAGGTCTCTGGTGGGGCAAGTGGGAAGTATATGCGCCTGGAGGGGACGGGCCACACCCACCTTTGTACTGATGGAGGTCGCTCAGGTTCTCCTGGTACGTGAGGATCACTGTCTGGTACTGGGTGACGATCTGGCGCCTGAGGCTCTCCCAGCAAGGGGAGAGCTCCCCCAACTCCTCCAGCTCACAGACTCTGCAAGTGAGATACATATTAGGCCATGGGGCTAGCCACAGAATGTGCACAGAAGTAGCACTGGTGCCCAGAGAGGGCCAGGTCAGCGGTCACACTGCCAGTCTAAAGGGCAACCAGGGAGTGGGAGGACAGACGGCTACATGAAAGGCAGACCCGCTGGCCACAGTGGGAAACAGAGAAGCTTTCACAGGAACTCAGATAACTGCTCAAGGGTTACTACATGAAGGTGGAAAAGACAGGTGTCAAGTGCAGCTCCACTATGGGACACCGCTCAGGCACAGGCAGGACCTGCATGCCATCCTCCACATCAGAGAGCACTGGAGGCATGTGAATAACTGCCAGAGACCATCTCCCCTCAGGGCTATCAGGACAGTCTCCTCATCTCCCAGATTCTGATGAGGTGTAGGCTTTCTGAGCTTCTCAGCTACAGCCTAGGACTGGCTCCTAGCAGCAGGGCCCAGAGCTCAGCTAGTGCTGCAGCCATGGCCCCTCTGTCCCAAGGTCCTCCTCCCTGGATGTGGGACAAGGACCATGAGGAGCTGGCACCTCGGCATAATCTTCCTTTCACTGCTGTGGATATGAGGAACTGTCTGTATCTGAAAGTGGCGCATTGTGTCATTAGCTGGTTGAATCAGACTGCCCTTGCCTTGGGCCTTGTCTTCTAGATGTGCTTGAAGGAGGGGATGGGTGAAGGGGAAGAAGGGAAGAAAGAGGGATTGTTATCTTCAGGAAACTCCAACTTGTGTAATAAGCACAAGCTCAAATATAAACTCCTTAGTTCAATGGTAATAACTACATGAGCATAAAAAGCAACACACGAGAAGAATTAAAGAAAAAAGATGACTGTATTAGGAAATGGGACTGAGGAAGGATAAAAGTTAAATCCCTCATCACAGAAAGGTAGCAGCTAATCCCTGAAGACAATTAATGACAAGAGGACTTGAAACACACAGTCAGAAACACAGTACTAAGCACCACACACACGAAAAGCAACAGCTTCCATAAAGGACATCAGCAGCAGAGGGAGTGAATTTAATAAAAGTTTTTAGGAATCAACTAAGTTATTTAAAGTTACAAAAAAAGTTTTGCCATTTTATCATTAGCAAAATAGCAAAATTAACATACAAGAACACCCAGTGCAGGCAGGACCATGGTGGAACAGCCCTGGTCTGAGGTCACCCCTGGGCACAGGGGCTCTGCCGGCCACTATCTTGTGGTATTTTTGCCCTGTGTGGCACATGGCTGCTCCCTATATTCCAGGTGCCAGTTGAACATTGCCACCTCCCTGAGGCCTGCCCTGACCACCCTTTTTCTTGCTCCCTTTTCATGTCTGACACTCACTGACACAACTGGCTCTCCTGCATACTGCTCCCTGTTCTCCATTTCCGACCACACCTGGTGCCCACTGACCACACTGCCTGACACGCTGCTGCTGCTAACACCACCACAACTCTTGAACTAAAGCACCTGTCCAATGAATGACTGCTTTCCAGTTGTACCACACCAAACAGGAAAGCATGCCATGATTAAAAACTAAAACATGAAAACTGAAGATACATGGGAAAACAGATTGCACCTATGAAAATATAGGCAAAGATGGACAAAACTAAGAAAAATTTTAGAAATCAAAATTACTTCTAAAAACGTTTATGCAGAAAGTAAGCAAACTATTAACAGTTGGTGAAAATAGATAAAAGGTATCTGGGCATTCAATGCATTATTTTTGCCATTTTTCTCCAAGTTTGAATTTTTTTCAAGAAAAAAATTAAAATAGTTGTATTAGAACAATGGGATTCTGGTTGTCTTGTTGTCTTTCATGCTTCTGTTCTATGGTGTTGATAATTAACATCATTTTAAAATAAGGAGTGGAAATGACAGCCTGGGATAGACAGAAGACAAAGTTTGCAGGCCTTAGGACTGATGGAGTATGCCCTGGGATAAGTGGGGCTGAGGGGGCGGGACCCTTGCTCCAGGGAGCCAGAGTGCCTGGACAGGTCCTCCTCAGTCCTGTGGAGGCCCCACCTCTGTGGCCCTAAGCTAGGAAACCACAAGGCAGCTRTTTCAAACTTCCTGAAGGCCAGGGAGAGAAGGAAGAAAGGGGGAGGGCAGGAAGAAGTGCTGAGTTCTGGGCATACTCCGGGTCTTAGACACACCACCATGTGAAGTCCTGCCCTGGGAGCTGGGATACAGATGAGCAAGCAGAGGCAGAGACTCAGTCCAGTGCACCTTTGCCCACCACGTCTCGGGAAGGAAGGGACACCATGTAAGTTGACAAGTGGCTGCCCCTCAGTGGGGCCTCACCTGGCCGCGTCTTCTTCCAGCAGGAGCTTCACAAACTGCCGGGGCACGTGTAGGGAAAGCACACTCTCCGCCATCTGCTCCAGGATCCGAAGATGGTTGCCATCGGTGGTAGGGAACCGATACATGCGGCAGATGGCGCCCCCGAACACTGAGGTAGAAGGTCGGGGAGGTAGAGGTGGTGGATGAGACCTGCCTCCTGGGTCCTTCCACCCAGGCCCTCAGCGATGCTGATGCTCCCAAGTCCTCTCCTGTTCTTCCAAGGGAGTCACCAAGCCACTGAGCCTCAACGTTCCTCCCCTGTGACAAGCAACCTTTTTGTCCCAGAAAAGGTAACTAACTTTAAAGTGCAAGGGGCTAGAGGTGGGGAATGGCAGTCACTAAACCAATGTGAAACAAGAAAGGGTGAAAGGAGGAAGAGACCCTTCCTCTAGGTATTTCAAACTCTGTGCACTGCTGAAATAATGGCACATTGACGAGCAACAGGCAGGTGACAATCAGGGCCCAAGTAGACAAGAGCACCAACCAAGGAAGCTGTTTACCTGACTTCAGTAAAGTGTCTTTCCGCAGTGAGGCATATTTGGATCGGATTCCCAGGGCCTCAGTCAAGCTCTCATCAACAGGCAGAACCATCTAAAAACAGGACCAGGAAAGCCTGAGACCCGGCCTACTCCAGTGCGCTCAGCAGAAAGGGGGCCTCCCGCGCCACAGAGGAGCTCTGGAGTGGGGCTGCCTAGGCCAAGGTCGCTCCCCTCCCCAGGCACCCGGAAAACTCCACGCACACCCTATTTTCCTCAGAGATGTGTCTCCTCACTCACTTCACCTTGGGTTTCAGTGGTGTGGTGTGCAAAACAAAAGGGAAGGACAGACGATGCCAAGACACATTCTGAGTAAGATGAGACACCTTCAGACCTTACAACCAGGACTACGCAGTGTTGGAACTCTTAGAGCTCTCGTTTGAGGGCTCAGGGCTTCTGAGTGAGGGATGGGCAGGAGGGTGCTTGCTGGAGAGGAGTGGGTCCTGAGGAGATGGGGTGTACGAGGTGACTATGGGGTCTGCGTGTGTCTGGGGAGAGTTATTACCAAAATCTAAGGGATGACCTGGTCTCAACAGCCTCTCCACTCACACTCTCAGGCCGAGTCCTCGCTCTCTCCTCCTCCTTAGAGCCATGCCTGGAGGATTTGAGTGTCCTGCAGGGCAGCTGCAAGGAGCAGGCACAGAGCCCCAGACCCAACACCAACTGACTGGCCTTCCCAGTCCTTCTGAGGGAGAGGAGGAGGTGGCCTACTCACCCTGCCATTGACAGTGTCTACAGACCGGGTCACAGGGGGCTGCTGATCTGACTTCTCCTCCATCTGCCAGCCGATCACGGTGATGTTGCCCACACGATCACTCTCTGCAGACCTGCAATACGCAGCGTGCTCTGGTGAGGGTTGTCACAGTGTGTCTTTTCTGCTTAAAAGCAAAGTTCAGCCATCCTGAACTTTTCAGGGGTCCTGGGAGTGGCAAGACCCAGCCAGCTGGTTAGTCAGTCACCTGTCACTGCTATGTGCCCGCCCTGGGAGAGGCACACAAGGAAACCAGGGGGCACAAGAGAGGGCTGCATCTGATGGGACAGTGTGGATGCGCCTGGTGAAGTAGGAGGGGGCCTCCCTGACGAGAAGCCACCACTGGCCCTAGGGGTCACTGCTCAGGGGTGATAGGGTGCATCTCAGATTCAGGGATAAAGAGTATCTTTTTCTGGCAATGGACCACTTTCTGCTCCTTCCCACCTCACCCTCAAGGCTTCAAGAGCACTAGGCGTAGGCTGAGACTCTAGGCAAACTGAGACCACACAGGACTGCCTGAAGCCCCTGCATCCTGAAGTGATGTAGCCCATGCCACCCCAGCCCTGGTTGTCTTCACCTGCAAGGTCCCTCAGGGTGGATGATGGCTGTGCCCATCTGAATCATCCATCAGTACCCCAGGGACACCTTCGAGCCCCAAGTATTTCATTCATGATGTCTGAGTCAGTCTGGTTCTAAATTTTTATCATATCTAATGACCATTTCCTTTGTGACTTTCTCTCACTGCTCTCATGCCCAGAGAAGCCCTTGAGCTCCTTTTCCAAAGGAAGATGTCCACTTCTCACAAGTAACTCTAATCCAACTAGATTTAGTTCTGGCACTTGATCTACCTACATATTTTCCCTCAACAGCAATTTCCCTCACATGAGCTCTAATTTTAACCAATATTCTTCCTTTTCCTGCATTGCGTTCTCCCTACACACCCAGGACTGCTGCGGGGCTCTCATCCTGTGGGCAGATTGGACAGCCAATGCTCCCAACACTGTCATTACTTATGGTAGCTTCCAAATGTCTCAAAATTGCAGAGACTTTGTTGAATTTTCTTTGCTATTTTAGATTATTCCCCTAGGCAATATATGTCCAATTTTTACATGATTTTGAATAAAGAACAACATGCCAGGGTTTTGGTGGGAACTGCCCCTAAAATCACTTGGAGAAGGACTGACATCTTGACACCTTTCATCTTCCTGTCTAGGGATGCAGTGGGGGTTTCCCTTTCATTCATTCACTCATTCAACAAACACTTCCTGAGCACAGCCCTGTTCTAGGTGGTTAGAATAGCAATGAACAAAGCAGAAAAAAATCCTCCCTGTATAGGAGATTACTGGGAAAGGGAAGATGACAGCTACATTTAGTATTATCAGGTCTGTGCCCTCTAGATCTGATACAGCTGTGCTCATATGTCCGACAGACAGCACACATTTCCATCCTGACCGGCTCTCTGATGGGCAGGGTGGTTCATCTTGCCTCGCCTCAGCAGAAAATACCACTGGCTCAGACCTGCCTCTGGGGAAGCCAGGGTGTCCTCTCAGAAAAGGAAGTAGGGCCTTTCCCCACCTGTCCCTGGACCCAGAGCTTTTCAAAGGAATAAGAGCAAATACCAACCTTAGTGTTAAGTGTAACCTGTGATGCCTGTCCTGGAGCAGATCTTTGACAACGAATGTTCCAGAGCCCAGTAAATACATCTGAGGAGGCGGGGGTAGAGAGAGAGAAGCATAAGTGCACTCATCTGCCTCTGGTCCAGTTGCCACACCCAGGGGAGTGGTGCTGCTTCCCACAGCCATCTCACACTCATCTTAGAAGCCCACAAGGAATGCTCAGAAAGCAATTCCCAAAGACAAATGTGTTAGACATGAGTTGCTTTGTGAGCCAGTAGTGAAATCAATCCTGTGCTCACCACTCACTCAAATGATTACATAACTGTAAAAATGGGGAGAAAATTCCACAAACCATGGCATGTTACTTAACTGTTCCCTGAGATCTATCTTTGACATCATATACAGATAATTTGATTTGTGTCATCTGATTGATAAGAGAGTCTTGAAAGAAGGCAATGCTGCTCAGAAATATAGGATTATTGGTTCCCTAGAAGAAAAAAGAAAATAATCAGAGTTGGATTTTTAAAAAATAATTGTTTTTGAAGTAATCTAACATTTTCAGAATGAGAAACTAACATTTTACTGACTCGGAGTACCTAATGTAATGGCAGCATGAGACCAAAAATCTGCTATCCCAAAGAGGAAAATGCAGTCTGCTGAAGACTGTTAAGATCCAGACCACAACAAACAGGCCTGCGGTGCAAGTTGCTGCTGTGGGCTCGTTTCTAAGGTTCCCACTCAGGAGGAGGAATTTTGTAAAGTGAAACCGTGTTCCACATGCACACCTATTCTCAGTGTCACGGTTTCAGATGTGCTGCACATTTGGACTTACCACTTTGGGCTATTTCTTTAAGATGTACAAACAGGGAGGAAGAAATGACTTATTATTTCTAGACTCCTCTGCTTGGAATAATTAAAGCTTGACTTTTAAAAGCTATCTCCTTTTAAAAAATATTTMTTTTTAGTTGTTGACAGACCTTTATTTTATTTATTCATATGTAGTGCTGAGAATCGAACCCAGTACCTCACACATGCCAGGCAAGTGTACTATTGCTGAGCCCCAGCCCAACCCCACAGCTATTTTTCTTTTAGGCCCAGCTGCTAGTTTCTAGATCATAGGTGGCTATTTCCTGGCAATGTAGCCCTGCCCCTCAAGGCTCTACATTATCCTCTTTCTCAGGCAGTGTGAAACACCATAGCTAAACTGTATTGTTTCCTGTTTGCACCTGCTGTGATGCTGTGATGTCTGGGCCTCTGGCTGGGTTCTCTCTGCAGCTCCAGCTCCAGTCTCTCGATGTCTGCTGGACAGACCCTCCTGGGGAATCTCCCTCTATCGCCCATGGTAAAGCTATCTCTGACTCTTTCCAAGCAGGCTAAACACCTGTGGGCCTGCTTTGGTGCCTCCTTCTCCATCACTGTCAACCACCCAGCAGCCATGAACTTCTACAAGTTCCACCTCCTCAGCCTCTCTCACATTCATCCTTCCTTCCACTTCCTCCCTCTGCCAAAGTCAGGTCCTGCATAACTCCCCCAAACACCTGTCCAAATCAGGACACCTGGTCATGTGACTTCCCTGCAGCCTGCAGTGGCTGGCTGTGTGCCACATCACCAACTCTCTGGCCATCCAGTCCTTCTGTCCTTGCCCTCCATGCCTGAGCCCACACTAAGAGGATAGCTATTCCCAAACCCACATGATGCTTGTTATCACACTGCCTTTGCAGAGCTACCACTGAACAAGCTCTTCCACATGAGGACCAGCCACGTGGGCATCACCTGGGCGTCTGTGAGGAACAGAGTCCTGGGCTCCACCCTGGACCTGCTGGGGCAGAATTTCATCCAGCCCCTCTAAGGAAGCTGCTCTGACCCTCAGAGCTGGATAGGTCCCTGTGTCCTGGCTTGCCTCACCGTGCTACTCTACACTGCCCCACGGTGCTGTATTTGGAGATGGACCTGTTCCTTTCTGCCTCTCCCCTCACAGGCTGGGAACACCCGAGGACAGGGACTCTGCCCCTGTGTTATTACCTCTCACTGAGCTTGATGTGTGGGCAGTGCTAAAAACCACAACAGTTGACCTAACATTGGAAACAAGTTTCTAAGAGACTAAAAGAATACTCTAGCTTCCAAAATGTAAAACTGTTTTATGTAAAATTATGTACTATTATGTCTTTATGTGAAAATGTAAAAATAATGTAAATGCAGTTTAATTTAGTTGGTTATTCTTCACATTCCAAATTAAACCCTATGGAATTTCACACTGCAACTTATGTGATGCATCAATTATCTTAAGGGATTTTGTAAAATTTTTTCAGTAAATGCATAAATTAATTTAAAGTAGAGTTAACATATATAGTAGAGCGCTTGCCTGGCACACGTGAGGCACTAGGTTTGAATCTCAGCACCATATAAAAAAGAAAGAAAGAAAGGTATTGTGTCCATTTACAACAAAAAAGTACTTTTAAAAAATTCAAAAGGATGTAAAAATAGGCCAGGAGTAGAGGTGCAGGCCTATAATCCCAGCTCACGAGGCTGAGGCAGGAGGATCACAAGTTCAAGGCCTGCCTTAGCAAATTAGCAAGCAAGACCTGTCTCTACTACTAGGATGCAGCCTGGTAGTAGAGCACTTGCCTAGCATGTGAAAGGACCAGGTTTAATCCCCACTACTGTGAAAAACAAAAAATAAAAATAAAACCCAACAAAACTAAGGATATGTGCCAGTAAGAGGACTGATTAATAGACAGAAATCTTCCAAATTTTGATTAACAACCACAATTTTTTTCCTGTAATCCCAACTACTAGGGAGGCTGAGGCAGTAGGACTGAAAGCCAAAAGCCAACCTGGGGAACTTTGTGAGATCCTATCTCAAAATAAAATAAAAAAGGTCAGGGATGAGGCTCAGTGGTACAGTGCTTGCTTAGCATGTATGAGGCCTGAGGTTCAATCCCCAATACCATCACCTCCTTCCCCAAAAAAGAGCACAATTCCAAATTAAACCCTATGGAATTTAAAAGTAGCAGCCAGCTGGAAATGACAAGGAAGAATTAGGCCTCTTAAGAGGCAATGAACCTTAGAAGATCACTGCTCCAAATACCCATCAATAGTTAATCAATAACTGTCAAGGACATAGCAAATGAATGGAATAAAAAATATCAAGGTACTGAAAACTCTGTAAAACCAACAACTCACATAAACACAACTGTAGCTAAGATGCTCAGAAAGGAGCAGTGTCCGGTGAGGCTGTGAATACCATGGCAGCAAATCCCAGGCCCCCAGAGCACCCACCTCAATGATCTCTGTCTGTGCGTGCTTCGTCCAGAACGCCTGAGGAGGGGTGGTGACGCTCACTGCTACAAAACTATTTGGTTTTCGATCTAGCGATGGCGTATGCAACTCACTGCAAGCTACAGAATCAAGACGGGAAAAAAACAAATTCTTCAAAACCAGGCGCTGGTTAGCTGTATGCTCCAAGCCCAAAGAAAGCAGACGATGACACTCAGAAGGATAAGATGATCACACTGTCACAGGAAAGTGATTTTACAAATTTCAGTCTTTCCCCCTTCCTTTGCCCTTCTCCCGCCCTGCAGAGGACAACAAGCCCACAGCTGCAGAGGCAGGTGGTGTTAAAGATGGCTTCCTACGTCCACACAAAGGAAAACAGAGCTAGCTCTCTCTCTTGGGGTCCTCCATATGCCCCCAACAGCTGGCCCTCAATAGTGAACTGAATTCCAACTGAATGACCAAGAAGACACAAGTCTGAAATCTACAACAGGGCTCCACGTGCCTGCATCCTGTGACAGTGTGGCTAACTCTAAGCCCAGCACCCCCTGCATCTTGGTGTGAGCATCAATGTATACTGGGAATAAAATTAAAATTCTATGGCAAAATAAAAAAACTTTATTTTTAAAATCTCATTGTTCATCTATTCTCCTAATAAGACACATTATGTGCAAAATACTCAGTGTAACTTCTCAGAACTAAAGATATCTTGCAGAACCATTTTGGTTGATAAATATAATGTGCTACGTACTCTGAAGTACACATCTGATAATACACTCTGAATAGTACACATCTCAGATAATTTTATCACAGAAGTGATCCACAGGAAAAACTTACATCTCACTGAATCTAACATGCTCTCTGACATTAAATGCACTATGAAAGGGGAAAAACAAAACCCACTGTCATTAAACTATGCTATGCCATTGAGAGGAAGTTATTTCCTTAAATTAAAGAGATGTTAAAATGTGAAAAAGGTATATCTTGGATTTGAGAAAATACACAACAAATCAATGTTCAACAGCAGTAAAAATAATTAGCTTTTTTGGTGGGATTCATTTAGAAAAACATAAATGTTCAGCTGCTCCCTTTAAAATTATGAATAGAGAAAAGTAAAATTAACTCAGTTTTTCAAAATGAAAACATTCTGGAGATGGGTGGTGGTGGCAGGCATATAATTTAATGTCATTGAACTGTACACTTTAAAATGTTTAAAATGGTAACATTTATACTATGTGTATTCTGTCACAAAGAAAAAATAGAAAGTCTACCTTCAACTCTAATTTTAAAAAAATCCCCATGTCCACAACAGGAGGGACAAATGCAGAGGTAATGCAGAAGGAGGAGGCGGCTTGGGATGAAGACAGCAATACAGACAAAAGAAGCAATAATTAGAAAGAAAGAAAATGATGAAAAGAAAAGTCAGGAAAATACAAAGCAATGGAAGGAGGGGAGGCAAACTTGATGGAGGGGTTGGGGTGGGAGACGCCTTGCTGTGTTTGAGGCAGTTTGGCTGAGAAGGTTTGTTCAAGAGGCCACTTGGAGGAAATTACTGGCTATCATTGTCCTTTGAAAGGATCATACAGCCCACACTGCTCTTTAGGGTTCGAATTACACTCTGCCTGCCATTAGCACGGCCACACCAGCTCTTCTGCTGGCACATGCGTGTGTGTGCTCTATTTCACACAGCCACTCTTCACTGAGCTACGCCCAGCTTGCCCAGGGCCCTTCTAGTGCTTGGCTTTCCAGTCCTTTCTACACCTGTGAGCTCAATACCTCGGCACTGTTTATACTGCAAGTCTGTGTTCACAATATCTTCTTTCAGCTTTTATGGTCTGAAAAGGTCTCTATTTATACCCAAATCCTTAAGATTATTTTCTCTATGCAGTGACTTTCTCTAAAACCTTTAAACATTGTGTCTCTGAGTTTCTATTTTTTCTGTTATGAAGTCAGCAGTCAGCCCAATTATTGCTACTCTGTGCTTTTGTACGTGTTTGTGTTCTAGCAACTTCACTGATTTTCCCATTGACTTTGACTTCTGACAGTTTAACTATGATATATCTAGGGATATTTTATTTTTACTAGTTCTGTGACTTGCTGAATTTTATTAGCTGGGAAAAAATGGTCACCTATTAATACACTTTTTTTTATTTGGTAGTTTTATTTTTCCCCACGATTTTAATTGGTGCATTATAGTTGTACATATGGATGGAATTTGTTGTCACATACTTTATATGCATACAAATATATAATATAATTTGTCCAATACATACACTTCTGACCCTTCTCTGTTTCTTCTTGAACACAAAATAAACAGATACTCTCACTTTTTTTATACTCTTTTGTTTTTATTGTTGTTGTTTCCATTATTTTCTGTCTCTGGCTTCTTTTGGAAGTTCTCTTCTTGACTTATAATCTAAGACGATCAACTTTCTCTTCAATTGTATCAATTCTGCTTCTCAGACCCACCCACAGGTTGTTAAACTTGCTGATCTGAATATTCACTTGGTTCTTTTATGGTTTTTCATTCTCTGATGAGGTGTTAATAATGTCTTTATTCTCTTTATTCCCCTTTAACTTAATGTTATGAACTGAATGCCTGTATCCTCTCAAAATTCACATATTAAAATCCTAACCCCAAGGTGCTGGTGTCAGGAGGAGGAGCCTTTGGGAGGCCATTAGGCCGCAACAACAGAGTCCTCGTGAGTTGGAATTAGTGCCTTTAAAGAGGAGACATGCTCTCCTTGCTCTGTTCTTTGCTACATGAGGATATAACAAAATGGTCGGTAGACAGTGGACCTGCTAGCTCCACAATCTTTGAATCCCCAGTCTCCAGAACTATGAGAAATAAATTTCTTTTGCTAAAGCCATTCAGTCTCTGCTCTTGTTCCAGCAGCCCAACCTCACTAAAACAGCCAGCAACTTTCACATCCCAAATCTTTGTGGGTCTATTTCTATTGTTTGTTATTTCTGTTTTTGTTTTTCAAAATTCATGAACTTATGCTGAATATAACTTTTTAAAAATTGTTTATAGGAATGACTTGAGGCCCAAGATGATGCTTTCTTCAGAAAAGACTTGTGATTGCCTCTACCAGGTTCTAAGAAGCACTGACATTCTTAACTTTGGGGAACTGAGTGGACCTGTAGCAAGCGCCTGCTTCTGGTTCCCTTTAATCTAGAAGTATAGTTTTTTCTATTCTAAACCAAAGTGAAAGGAATTTCACCAAGTATCTTTCCCCTTATGGGCCTTAGAAAAATAATCCCCATCACTTTGGTACTGAAGTATCTGAAGCCCTGCTCAGCTTTCTCTTGGGAGTCACTGAGAGCCCTCAAAAGAGTAAGAGAGGGCTGAGGATATATCTCAGTTGGTAGAGTGCTTGCCTCCCATGCACAAGGCCTTGCGTTCAATTCCCAGCACCACACACACACACACACACACACACACACACACAAAAAAAAAAAAAAAAAAAAAAAACAATACTGTGTCTCCACCTTCAGCTCCATTACAGAGTTATCAGTTTCCTGGAAACATAAATAAGATACTTCTTAGATTTTTGCTCCTTTTTTCTAGATTTTTCTCTTTTTTTTTCAAGTTGTCCTTAATGGTAGGATTTGGTTTTTCATTGTCCTTTAGAAGCATGTTAAGTTTTTTTCTTTATCCTTGGAATTTACAAGTTTCAAAAGGAGACACCTAGCAGTTGGTGAACATTCTGGGTCTTACATCCATCCTTCTAGGAAAAGATTCTTCTGTTACTTCTGGCCTGCTGTTCCTCTTTCTGTCTCTTTTTCTTCTTCTGGGTCTCCTAAGCATTTAAATAATAAAATGCCAGATATTGTCACATCTCTTCACTCAAAATTTGCCTGATCCTTGATATTTATTCTTTGAGCTGTGAGATTGTTCCTTTGTTTGCTTTTATGTGTTTGTACTCATTTTCAGTAGTGTACTTTCGATTTTTTTTAAAAAAGATATTTTGTGTAAGATCTACTTCACACACTATAAAATCCACCACCCTCAAGTATACGATTCAGTGGCTGGTAGGGTACTACAGAGTTCTGAAACCATTACCATTATCTAGTTCCTTAACATTATCATCACTTCAAAAGAAAAACAAAACTGCCCATATGGGCTGGGGTTGTGGCTGAGAGGTAGAGCGCTTGCCTAGCATGCATGAGGCCCTGGGTTCGATCCTCAGCACCACATAAAACATACATATATATATATATATAATGTCTACCTATAGCTAAAAAATAAATACTAAAAATAGCTATGGCCATAAACAATCATTTGCCATCCATCCCTCTTCCCCAGCCCTCCAGAAACCACTAATCTCTTCTGTATAGATCTGTCTATTCTGGACACTTTATATAAATGGGATCACACAGAATGTGGCCTTTTGTCTCTGGCTTCTTTGATCTGGCACAGTTTCAATGCTTACTCCTTCTACAGCCAGTATCAATACTCCACTCCTTTTTAGTGATGAATCATGGTCTACTGAATGAGCATACTGCATACCATTTGTCCATTCATCAATTAAGATATTTTGGTTACTTACACATTTTAGTTATTACAAAATAATGCTATAAACATTTGTGTACATGTCTTCATGTGGATGTATCTCTTCATCTCTCATGTTCGAAGGACATTTTTGCTGGATATAGAATTCTTAGATGACTGGCTTTTGCTTTCAGGAATGGGAATATGTCATCCTACTTCCTTCTGAACACCAGAGTTTGTGATAAGAAATATGTTTACTCTTGCTGAAGATCCCTTGTACATAGTAAGTCACCTCTCTTGCTGCTTTTTAAATTCATTGGCTTTGGATGGTTTAATTATAATGTCTCCAGGTGTGAATCTCTTTGAGCTTATCCAACTTGGAGTTTACTGGGCTTCCTATATGTTTTCCATCAAATGTGGGAAGTTTCTGGCCATGATTTCTTCAAGTATTTTTTCTCTCCCCTCCCCTCTGTCTTTTCCTGGAACTCCATTGAAACCTATGTTGGTACACTTACTTGGTGTTGTCCCACACGGCTCTGACACTCTCTTTATTTTTCTTCTTTTTGCTTTCTGTTCCTCAGACTGAAAAATGCCAATTGACCTGTCTTCTACGTTTGCAGTTTCTTTCTC